AATAATAAATTTAAATATTTATTTGAATTCATAGACTTTCTCTCTATTTCGTTATCACAAGATATCTTAAATAAAATATATACTGACAGACCTAGATTCGACCCGACGACAGTCTCTTCCATGCATATATTTATAAAAAGATTAACAGTGATCGATAGATTGTCATGCTCGGTACTATATACGTTAGAAAGATTATCTTGAATCGTATATATTATATGTGTATATGTATAATTCATTTAAAATGTTTGTCATGACATTATACGAGCGCAATAATTTTAATAAATCGCGCCCATCGTCCGCATGCGGATATACGGCTATAACTAGAGACGAGAGACGAGATTTGCCCGTAATAGCTTCGTTTAATCAACAGGTGGTTGTTTTTGCTCGTGTTGTTACTACTCATGCGCCCACGGACACGTGAGAGTTGATAAATATATATATATACACATATGCATAAGAGTTGCTTACAGAAAATAATAATCAAGCAAATAGAAACAAAGTAAGATATATCTGAATATTAATAACTAAACAGAAGAAAAAAAAAACAAAAACAAAAACGAAAGGCCGATACTCCTCGAGGGATTGTCATTTATTATTACGCCACAAATATGTTTATCTCAAATATAATTTAATGTCAAACGTTTATCATTTTCGCGGTAATCAATTTACATTTATTGGCATGGTGAAATATTAGTTCGTTGAAAAATCGTATATTAAATCTCAATAGAAACAATCATAATGGTTTATGTAAAGGTAAAACAATCTATATAGACATAATATTAAATTACAGTGAACTACCATAGATAATATCCATTATTACCACGAATTACAGCAATCGGTTATTTTAAATTTACATACTTATATTGTCTATTATACATGTCTATTGTGTGGTATTGATACACTGAGAGACTATTTTATTTAATAGTAATAAAAAAGTTTATTTGAATTTGAAAGAAAAAACTTAGTTAATATTAATAAAAATATATTTCATATAAATAAAATTTTATTAGGCTTTAATAAAATTTTCTTGAATACTAATATGTATATGTTTATTAAAATAACCACGAGCATCGCTTTCGTTAGCTGTAATTAATTCGCGTAGTTTGTACTTGTTCCAAAAGTTTGACAGTGACCAAATAATCTCAAAAAAAAAAAAATTAATATTGATCAATTTAATTTATTAAGGTATAAAAGTTAAATGTGCTTAATTACAATACATAATTCATGTTTCATAACATAACATAAATTTGTATTAATTATAATTTAGTCAAATATATTTTTACAGTAATATCTTTTGATAAATAATATTAAGATTTTTTAATGAGACATCCTAACTAGTTTACTTCCGACTTTTATGTTGTCATTATGACAGACAACGTCTTTTACATACTAAGAAAAATTTATTAGTATTTAATAAAACATATATTAGTATTAAAGAAAATTTTTATTAGTATTTAAGGAAATTTTATTACTATTAAATAAAATTTCATTACTATTAAATAAAATTGTCATTCAGTGTATTTACTTAAATTGCCCTCTTGTGTCGCGAAATAAAATTACGGTATCGATATTTTATCGCTCAAGTCTGTATAAATAAAAGTATTTTATCTTTCATCATCAAGTGTGCTTGTGTTTAATAAAGAAGAGAGGAGTTAAGTCTAGTCGGGCAGATAAGGCCAGGAGTAATTTATATGGTTACCAACAGTTGAGTTGAGTGTGCACCTGCAGAGCGACCAATGCCACCGTAGAGTGCAGCACCTGTTTATCTCGGTAAAAGTGGCTTTATTTATAAAAACGCGCCAGTCCGAGATGGGATCTAAACACGGGATCGATGAAAGTCACGGAGAGGGGCAGCCAATCCGCGAGCTCCTCTCCCTACTAACACTAGTTGCTGCGTACCACGCGCATGATCTAACACGCACGCGGGAATAGAACGTCAAGGCTCGAATAAAAGAAAGAGATTGCAGAACCGAACGACGTAATTTCCATCCGCATGACCCTGAACTTCAAGTCAAGTCACCGTATTGGTTATATATTTATATATTTATATATAATGGGTTTACTTAAACACACTTACAACACTTTATATACGTTTTAACTCTACTCTGTACCAACAATTTCCTTATTCAGCGATTTCCTCTCTATCATTACGTATTCATGTAGTCTATAGTTGTCTTTATAAATAATATATTTCATTTATCTATGTGTGTGTGTGATCATGATCATTTTAGTTGTAACTCTTACTCAAGGACTTTTCTTTTAATGTATCTTCAAGAGCAACAGCCAGTTGAGCTAGAATATCATTCCTTTCTATAATGTTGCTCTGTTAAATTGATGATGATTAATGTTGATTTATCTATTGTTGTTTATTTTTTGTTCGTTATTTCTCAGAAAAATCTCTACTCGTTGAAGGTTTTCATTTTGTATAATACAATTATTTATATTTATTATTAAAAATTTTTAATAAAATTTTTTTTTTATATACGGAAAAAAGAAAAATATAAAGATGTCAGATTGTAATTATTACAGATTTTGTAAGAATTAAATTTTAAAATGTAAATATTATATTGAAAGCTCTGAAAATTAACATTCAAAGTTTGAATTTAGAAAAATGTTGTTTTGAACTGTAATTTTTCGAGTTTTCTTTTTTCCGTAGACTTTTGAATTATCTAAAAATATCTTAGCAAAATTTTTTGACCAATTGAATTACTAAAAAAATTTTTTAGAGGTTTAAATAATTAATTTATTAATTTAACAATGAAGGTTTTCATTTTGTATCGTACAATTATTCATATTTATCATTAAAAAGTTTAAATAAAATTTTTTTATGTACGAGAAAATGAAAAATAAATATTTTAGATTGTAATTATTACAGATTTAGTAAAAATTCAATTTTAAAATGTAAATATTACATTGAAAGCTCTGAAAATTAACATTCAAATTTTGAACTTAGAAAAATGTTGTTTCGAACTGTGATTTTTATAATTTTGAATACGACGGGACACTTATTACTATTTAATGTAATTTTTTGAGTTTTATTTTTTCCGTAGACTTTAGAATTTTCTAAAAAAATCTTAACAAAATTTTTTGACGAATTGAATTGGTAAAAAAATTTTTTAGAGGTTTGAATAATTAATTTATTAATTTATCAAAATAACTTTCAAGAGATTTAGCTATAAATGAAGCATTTGTTGAATCAATTAGACAGCAAATCAGGGGATTTAATTTAAAACGTAGTAGTAAGTCCTCATTACCCGGACTTCCCGTTTCAGCGTAGCATGACTGGATCCCTCAGCTCACCTTGATGAATAATTGTGTGTAGGAAGGTTCTCACTTAATTCACGACGTGTTTGGATTTTTTTTCTGCTGATGTTTTAAAAGTATCGGTTGAATTTAAAATAGTTGCGTTGGAGTGTTTAAATAACGACAACAAGTTAGAGTTCTATTCATAGTTGAGTTTTCCGGATCGGTGATGCCGATGTAATAGTTATTTGTTGGAGATGGACGGCATGTGTATGCGGGCATCAGAAACTATCATGAAACTGCATATCTACAAGAGTGTGACGCCGCTTCGTGACTCTTACCCAAGGTCTCCCCTTTCCAATCTGATCGAAGGTCGTCCTCGTTGTCTGAAGCGCTAAGAATTAAACTTTTCATATTGAGCACCGAGTTTTTCTTCTAATATTATTTTTTTTCCTTTTGCGTTATCTTCGTCTCTCTTTCCTTCTGGTTATTCAACAAGCAGGTGCATTTTTATCGCGTCAACAATTTTTTTTTTGTAATTTTCTTCAACTACTGTACTAGAAGTAAGATTTTTTTATTATTCATTTAAAAAAAATATTACAATAGAGGAACAAAATTTTCAAAGTAGAATATTCAGTTGCAGTCTTATGAATTGATATAATTTATTCAAATGTTATATAATGAATTATGAGTTGATAATTATGAAATAATAATTATTAGAAAAATATTCCGGTGATTATATAATCGTCCTTGATGAAACGTAGAACAATTTTATTATGATGTTGAAAGAATATAATAGAAGTATGTGTTTTGAATGAAGATCATAAGTGACAGGCGCCAGAATAATTCATTTTCCGTTTTAGTTTCTGACATCACTCAATAATAAAAAAAAAAAAAAAAAAAAAAAAAATGAAATAAACAACAAATTCTATCTATTTTTTATTGATTCGATTCAAGCTTTCTTGAATAACATTCCTCGCTGTTTATCATCTATCATTGATCGTTGTATCATAAAATAATTATATATAATACATCAAATTCCTCGATTGCACAACTCTATCCTCAATTAGAAGATAAATCAATAACGAAAACAAATTTTTAAATGGCAGGCAGAAAAAATAAAAAACTTGATCGATAGATCGTAAAAGATACAATTGAGGACCGGAGTAAGGTGTAAGGAATTTTTTAGAGTGATGAAAAAATTAATAATAATGATAATAATTAATGAAAATGAAGTTAGCTGACATTTCAAAATTTTTAGAAATTTTTTTATCCAAAAAATTTCAATTAAACAATTAAAAAAAAAAATATCACATGTTAAAAACTTTAAAAACTATAAATGCAATTTTTTAAAAATATCTTTTTAGTTATAATTTAACTAAAAAAAAAAATCAAAAATTTTTAGACGCCTGCTAACTTCAGTGTCATTAATAATTATCGGTTACAGATAATTTTTTCTTTGGTTTTGAAAAGGATTTTATTTTTATAACTTTTACAGTCGTACATAAATAAGTAATAATACCCTTAAGTAAAAATCTATCATATTTTTAGTTTGAATTGACATCAATGATTAGATGTGCTTATCAATCTACTTTAATTGAAAAATAATGTAAAATTTTTTTTAAATATTGTTAATTTTTTCTTTACATCTTTTAGATAAATTATTAAATTTGGTGGTTATATGTTTGGCGCAATGGAAAAATTTAAAATAATAAAAAACCATAGCTACATTAAATTGTCATTATCGGTTACAGACGATGTATACGGACGGTCTACTAACTCTCCATTATGGGAAACATCCCGCAACCTTGGCTGCAGAGGTCGGGGCATGGTACAGTGGGGATCGTCATGTCGACGTGACCCTGGCTTGCGACGACGGCTCCGTCGTCAGAGCTCATAGGGTCGTATTGGCCGCAGCTAGTCCCTTTTTGGCTAGTCTTCTTCGCAACCCGGCGCTGGACCACGTTGTCCATCTGTCTGGTGTCAGGAAAACACAGCTTACTCACCTACTTGAGTTTCTTTACAATGGAGAAGCTCTCATACCCGTAAGTATTTTTTTTGGTAATTATTTACAAGTGGGGTCCACCATTTTCATTTTTTTTAACAAAATTTCTATTTGATTTTATAGATATATCTTTTTTTTTTTAAATACATAAAAAAATTAACACAACAATTTTAATAAATTTATAAATTTTTTAGAAAATTGTGATATTCAACTTTTTTTTCTTTTTAATTGTTCGTTTTTTTTTTTATGTACTTTTCAAAAAAATATACATTAAAAATATCAGAAAAAGATAAAATATAAATTTTATCAAAAAACATGAGAGCCAAAATTTTTTATCATAACTGTGCCATAAAAACAAGCAGAATTAAAACATATTAAAAAATGTTAATTCTTCACTTAGATATGGCCAAAAATAGGATGGACCCCACTTGTAAATAATTAACTTTTTTTTTAATAGTAAAATTCAATTTCTAAAAACTCATTAAATGTGAGTGTTTATTTATGAGCATTTATTTATGATTTCAGTCGTCAGAATTAACGCCTCTGAGAGAATTATTTGAACTCTTACAAATAAAATCGGAATCGTTTGATCCAAACCAACCACAAACATCAACAGATTCTGATTCATTAAGGATACCAACACCACAACCTTCCGAAAGTCAAGAGAGTTCTAGTTATGAGTCTCAGTATGACAGCAGGTCGTTAGTATTACCAATTGATAAAGATATTTTTATTTTTACACCAAAATAAAACAATTAAAAAATTTATTTATTAACAAATAAAATTATTCAAATAGGCAATCGAATAATCCAGCGGACTGCTGTTCCGTGCTAATAAAAAGTGAAGGCTGTGATGATGATCCAGAGCAGGATGTCGATGTCGAGGGCGTTGAAGGTGACGCAATTCTGACAGACAATGGTGAGAGCAGTATCGAGCCACCAAGAAGGAGGGATAGCTCGGATCCAGTAAACCTTAGTCTAAATTCCGGTACCTCGACTAAAAGTGATGGGTCCCATGAACTTTCCCACTTGCGGTAGGCACTCAATTTTTCAATAAAATTATACACGCGCGGAAAAAAGAAAATTTGAAAAATTACAGTTTGAAATAACATTTTTCTAAATTCAATTTTTTAATTTAATATTCAGAGCTTTTAATGTAAATATTACATTCTAAAATATAATTCTTATAAAATCTGTAATTAAATTTGAAACTGTAACGCCACGTTGCATTATATACTGTAATTTTTCGAGTTTTTTTTTTATCCATGCGCAACTATTCAATAAGATTTATCAAAACAGAATTTAAGGTTTTTAATTACCAATCGGTTGATATCTTCAGGTCGGAGAAGATGCTGTTGGAGAGGAGAGAGTCGCTAGAAGAGGCGGAAGAAAGACGAAGACAATTAGCAGCGCGACTGTCTCTCGGATTAGAGCCGGGAAAAAGAAAACCCGAGGAGATACCTCTGCCGCCCGCGGAGGCGTACGTCGTAACGCCGCATCGCAAACGCAGACCGGGATTCCATAATGCGCCTGCACAAAACCCGGCATTCGTGCCGTTCAATCCGGGATTTGAGACACCGAGGAGACTTGCTGCCCCACATCCACTCAGTGTTTCCGCTCCACCCTACCTGGTAATTTTTTTTCTTTTTTTCTATACCTATTAATTGACAAAAAGAAAGAGTCAATTAATGAAAAAATTTATTTTTTTTAGCAGGACAGGTCAGTAACGCCTCCAGGAGCGTCTCACAGGCCGCCCAGCGCAGACCCAGCGTCGGCGGCAGGCCTGGAGCCACCATGGGGTGCTTGGACTCTTCCTCCAGCACGAGCCCCGCCACCTCCCTCGGCCGAGGACCCGCCGAAATGCACGCCAGTTCGCGAGTACCGATGTACCTACTGCGGCAAGCAGTTCGGAATGTCCTGGAACTTGAAGACTCACCTGAGAGTTCACACCGGCGAGAAACCATTCGCCTGTCGCCTCTGTGTCGCCATGTTCAAGCAAAAAGCTCATCTCCTGAAGCACCTTTGCTCTGTACACAGAGGCGTTATAGCTGCCCCGGATAATACCTTCACCTGTTGTTTCTGCTCCCTCAGCTTCGACAGCCTCCAAGAACTCATACGACATCTCTCCGGACCGCACAACAATCTTCTTCTCAGTAAAAATCTTCACGACTAACGACAGTACTAAAGATCTGCCGGTACTTTTAATTAATAATTATTTTTCGGTACGAAAAAAAAAAAAACAAAAATTAACCCTCGTAATTCCTACGCGCCAAAACGTACGGATGAGTATTTATTTATTTTTATTTTTATTTGATAAAATAAATAAATAAATATTGCCGGTAAGATCTTTAATTATTTAAATAAACATTGACAATAAAATTGAAACTCAAATATTAATTATACTGCGAAGATTATTTATTGCGAGATATTAATTAATTACCTCAGATAAATATAATATAATTCATTGTTTTAATGAATTTATTTTACAATTTATATTTATCTGAGATTGAGCAAACAATTAATCACGCGAAAGTGGAATTTTATAAGAGTAATAATTTAATAAATTAAAAAAACAAAGTATTGAATAGATTAATAGATGGTAAATAAATAATTAAATTTATTTACCGACAGATTTAATTATAAATCTCGGAAGGATATATGACTTGTTTGAGCAATTAATTTATGAGATAATTAGTAATATAAATAATAAAAATAGAAATAATAATTGATAATAATAATAATAATAATTATTGATATATTTAAACATTTAAATTGTAGATGTTTAAATATTGTAAAGATTCTCTTGTAAATAATGTTACATAATTTTAGATAAAACAAAAATAAATGGACATTATTAATTATTTATTTATAATAATGATTATACAAAGGGACCAACCGACTTTCCACCGATTTTTTCGTCTTAAGTAGTTAGTAATTATTCCTGCCTATCGTCTCATTTTAAAACAATTCAGTAGTGAGCTTTTAATTTTTAAAACGAGTATTGTTTTTTTTTTTGTTATTGTTATTATTATTTTCATTAATTAACAAAGTTCTAATGAAAATAATAATAACAGATTAGTAAATGATAACCACCGAATTCACAACCTCACATTATGATAAAAATAATAAAGCTGATGCTTTAATTATTATTTAATAAATAATTTTCATTTTCATTTAAATAATAACGATTTTATTTTTAATAAATTCAATTAGATTATTGTAAAACTTTGTGACCTGCATGCGACATACGTGCCTTGTTGGGTCCAAATTAGGTCGATTGGGCAGTGATTTCATGTGTTCATAGGCTTAAGTGTGTACGAAAGTATGCCCACTTTAATTACTTTCATTAAATAGGCAGGTTAATTTAGTAATTAATTAATTTATTAGCTGTTAAGTAGACGTAGAGTTCAATAGGCATCTATATACATATATAGACATTTATTTATGTATATATATATGTGTATAAATTATTAGCGGTAAGCCCGAATAATTAATTGTTACGGTGACATAACTTTGACGCAGGACGTCAGTTTTTTTTTTATAAATCTTCAGGTGCCTTTAATTAATTGGCCTTTTCTATTTCTATTTTTCGACATGTCCCTTTTGCCTCGTGTTTTTTGTGAAGAATGTCTCACTAATTCAATGTAAAAATCGGAGCGAAAGTTTTAAAAAATTTTTAACTGTTTTAAGTTAAATAAGACACAACTTTAATGAAAAAAAAAATTTTTCAGATAGTAGCTAAAAAAAATCCAGATTATACTGCGTGATATCTGGATTATATTAGCTACTATCTGAAATTTTTTTTCACTCAATATAATCTGGGATGATATCCAGTGTCATCTTATTCTTTCCGTGAATATATTTCAAAAATTTTTTCTTGAAGTCTTGCTTTTTTAATTCAAGAAAATTAAATATTAAATTTGTTTAAAATAGTGTCTAATTTTTTCTTAATATTTAAAAATTTTTTATTACTTTATTTTGAATGAAATTTTTGAAATTATAAATTTTGTTTGATAGAAAAAAAACTTGTATTTTATATAATTCTCTGTACAAAAAAATTGGCCGTAAAAAAAATAAATACATTAATAAAAAAATTAATAGAGGCAAAATGTACAAGAATTTTGAATAAAAAAAATTATCGTGCCGCGAAATACCCCCGCAGAATGCATAATCAATAGTGCACATAATAAATAATTATATGTAATAATAATATTAATAATAATTTTATCTTCCGAAGCAGTACACCAAAGATATGTTCGTAGGACCGTTTCGAGGGATAAGTAAGTTATTTTGAGTTTGTTTTAACAGTAAACGAAAAATGCTATCTGGAAGATGAAATTCGATAAAAAAAAAAAAAGCGACGAGACCTGAGTTAAATCTTGTGGATTTTTACATACGATGCCTACGACAGATCGTTGTACACATATTTAATATATATAAATTAAAGGAAAAATAAATTGATGATTAATAAAATTTTCTAAAACTTTGTAATACTTTTTTGTTATGCATTCTCGTTTGATCTATTAATTAAAAGAACCGAATGTCTAAATTGGTTTTATTTCTGTATGAGATTTTGTTTTGGTGTGAAGCTGAAGAATTAAATTGATCCGAAGTGTATGATAACAGAGCAGGTTAAATATTCGCACAATAAACACAATGTGATAGTAAATAATAAATAAATAAATTATTATTGTTTAGAAGTACGCGAGATTTGTAATCATCTTATTCGCAGGCACGTTAACACGCAGTTAGAGCTCTTAAAAGTGGTTTTTTCTTTTGTTTGTATTTTTTCGAGTCTAGGATTCTTTTGAACCTAAACAATTTTAGATTGTACCTACTATGTAGAGATATTCACAGTGTCGATTAACGACATAACTACTGTATATATATAAATATAAATATTATTATTAAAAATTTATTTTACCCAGATATTCATTTTAATTTTTCTAACATTTATTTTTAAAGGATAATTCATTTTAATAATTGCCGAAATTTGTTTTATTTCAACTGTGGAAAGAAAGGGATAAATTCAAAATTTTATTTTATCAATTTATTGATAATTAAGAACGTCTGGGTAAAAGTAATGTAGCTGTTAAGTATTTTACAAGCGAAGTTATCTTCGTATGTTGTCTTAGTATTCATAGATTTATAATAAAATAAATTAATTAAAAAACAATCGTTTTATTTTATTTATTGACCTTTTAAAACATTTTTTTGCTTACTCTAGTGATAAATTATTAATTAAAATATTTAATTTTAAAAATGAGTTCTTTATATTTTTGTCAAATAATTTACTTGAAGAAAATTGTACACTGATAAAAAAAGTAACTTGATTCAAGAGAAAAAATTTCAAATTGAAGGATTAAATGGTTTTTAATTAACTTAGAAAAATTCTTTAACCAAATTTTTTAATTTAATAATTTTTTTGTTTTATTAAAAACTAGCAACCTTGCAGTCACTATGTGACTGCCGTGACTTGTCAACAACTATAAATAAATAAAATTTTGCTTTATTAAATAATAATTTTTGTTAAATTGCACTGTACTTTCTTAAATATTGACGTTTTTAAAGATATCAGCCCATCCCGACGTTACACTCATCAAGAGCTTTCATTTGAGTACCTACATGCATTTTGATATATTTATCATATACATAAATATTATTATACATAAATTTAACAATTGATGTTTGTAATTGAGTACCTGAGGAAGCTGCGAAAGTGGCGAAACGTTGTATGAAAATTAAATAAACATCAAATATTAAATATCCTGAAAATAAAAACCGTTTTTAATATATAACTAGCAACCTTGCAGTTACTATGTGACTGCCGTGACTTATGAACTATAAATAAACAAAAATTTTGCTTTGTTAAATAATAACTTTTGTTAAAATGCACTGTACTTTCTTAAATATTGACGTATTTAGAGATATAAGCTCATCCCGATGTTACACTCATCAAGAGCTTTCATTTGAGTACCCACATGCATTTTGATATATTTTTCATATATATATATAAATATATGAAAAATTGATGTGGGTACTCAAATGAAAGATCTTGATGAGTGTAACATGGGGATGAGCTTATATCTTTAAAAATGTCAATAATTCACAAGATACAAGGTCATTTCTGAATTATGTGTCTAGAGATAGAGTATTTTCGAATGCAGCCTCAATACTTATCATATAAACTGAATATCGATGAGAATTATATGAAACCTTGAAAGGGCACAAATTCAAGTCATGACCTTTGCAATGACACTAAATTTCACTAAAAAAAAAAACCGATTTTATCATATGACTATCCTGGAAACAAAATTTTTCTTATTCTTTTAATAATATAAATATTTTTTTTTTCTATTTAGAAAATAAACTAAAAAGATTTTTTTTCTCGAATAAATTTAATTTTTTATCAGCGATTTAAATCCTAATTTTAAGCACAAAAGATTCTAATAGTGCAATTAAGAATCTAAAAAATTCTAGTAAGCTCACATGTGAACAAATAAAAATTAGTGAATTGCAAGTGATTATGATGAATTGATTAATTAAGTGCTCGTCTGTCTAACGGTTAAGAATAGTTAATCTCGTTGTCGGAAGAAAAAAAAGTAGAGACCGTTAACGGCGGGCTCAACTCCAGCGAAGCATAGAAGCGTATGCAAAGCACACTACACGAGACTTGGATCAGTATTGAGAATAATTTTATGCAAGTAACGATTCCACGATAAATAATTAATGTCCCACGAGCTAGCAGTCACAGACACTGACACTGGTGTGTACATTGTATATTGTTGATTTCCTGTTGTATTTCTCCCACTTAGAAGGGCAAAAGCACCGGCCACCTGTACTCTATTATGCTATTCGAGCTCTGGTCGGTCCTGTATAAATCTCAGCTATTTATGGAACTACTGGTACATCCCACGAATCGACAAGTGCAATTCTATTTGCAACACTGCTGAATTAAATATCGCACACCCCAGCGGGGTATTATTAGAACTTTTATTCCAAGAAACTCGCTGTCCTTCGTTTCTTTTCACTGATAATTATTTCCATCCAATGATTTTATGCGCTAGCGTTTTACTGAGGCTTTCTTCAGAGAAAAATAATGTATAAATTTAAAAATTAAAGCCATAATTTTACAAAGACGGATGCTTAGTTGTCTTATATGGATGATAATTTACACACACTCATAAAGTTAAACTTGAAGAGCAAGACAAGACAAGAAGCGAAGAGAAGAGACAAGAGGGCTTTGACCAGCGTACCAGGTTGTCCGCAAAAGTTCAATATACTCTCCAGGACTGGTAATTTTTTATCACCATGCGTTCCTTCTTCACGACACGCGATCTTAACCTCTTAAATAAAAAAATAAGTAAAAGTATATTCAAGGTAAACAAACAACATATTAAGAGCCGTATAATCTTCGGGGATTTTTTGCGGAAAAATTCCATCGCTTCCAAGTATCAAGCAACTATTGTATTGATTCTCTAGTAGTGTAAAGAAAAGTTGCCGAGTAACTTTGCCCAAATTAACGGACTGGAACCCCTCCAAAACTATTAGAATGTAATAAACGTATGTTTTTTTAAAATCAGTTAATTCGATAGATAAATAACGCGTCATGTGTCCTTGCGATTATGATAATATTCTTAAATAACCGGTAGAGATCTTGAGATCTTCAGCTGATAATTAACTTTATTTGCAGAGTTCATTGGACTATTGAGCAATAGAGGCTATTAAAAAGGGCACGTGGACGCCGAGAAGATTATTTAAATGATTATAGTTGTAGAAGTAGATCATTTACTTGAGGGAATACCTTTTATAATTGATTTTGTAAATATAAACAAGAAATTTATCATTTAAAAAAACAATCAAATTAAGGGGCCATGAAAGAAGATTTGATAACATTTTTATGAGATAATTTTTGGTGCATTGTTTTGAGCTAAATTTTAGACAGATTTTAATAAAATTTAAACCACATATAAAAAATAAAAGTGAAACGAAATGCAGAAAAACGATCAATCATTTCTCAATAAAAAGTTATTCCCTAGTAAAGTCACCAAACATGTGATTTTTTAGATTTTCGAAAATTTTAAACGGCTGCCATTTCTAAACTATTTGATGGATTCAGCTCATTTTTAAACTCATCCAAGCTAATTATCTATAGAATAAGTCTACCAAGTTTCATAAAGATTCATTAAGAATTGTGGGAGTTATCGTGTCCACAAGCTGTGCGTTATATTACATAAATATATATATATAAACTTCCAAACCAACGTCATTTTTAAGCCTTGACTAAATAATTGATATAGTAACGAAATTCTGTGTGAATTTTGACACAAGGGCCAATGCAATAGATAGATTTTATGAAATCTACCTAATAGAATAATAAAAGCAGGAAACTAATTTATTTATGAAATTTTTACAAAAAAAAAAATTAATTCAAAAGAAAAATCGCAACTTTATACAGCCTACAGAAATCTACGTCGAAATAATGAATTTTTGTTTATTTTATGGAAACAAAGATTATAAAAAAGAGTTCCCTGCATTCTTTGTCACTACTTAGTTATAAAAATTTATAAAACCGATTATTTATAATCACAATTATTAATAGTAATGCACCGAATATAATTATCGTACAAGTATCAATTATCTCATAAAAATGTTATCAAATCTTCTTTCATGGCTCCTTAATTACTCATTAAAAAAAATTTTTTTAGATCTTAATTTTGTTGCACAGAAAGAAAAATTTCTTGACTAGAGAACAAAATTCTTGGTTCAAGAAAATTTTCGGGTTCCTGAAGGAAGATCGAAGTTGTGTTGGCCGAAATAAAAATTTTTCGAGAAATTCGGTTCTTGGTGGAAGTCATTTTTTCTTAATTCAAATTATCATAAATACTTGATACAATAAATTTTTATATTTGATCAAGATTTTTAGATACTTTAGGAAAGCAGCGCCACCTACTTTAGCTGAGAAAATTTTTCTCTTGAATATTTGATACCCATTTTATATTATTTTAGCGTGCAATTATACATATTGAATGAAAAAAAATGATTCGATATTATGTGATCTTCCCATTTGATATGTTAATCAATAAAAATATTAATGAAAATTTACTTCTATCTTTATATTTTATTTTTTGGAGCAAGAGAGAAATTTTCTCAAGACAAGAAAATTTACTTCTATCAAGAACTAAATTTTTTGGAGCAAGACGCTGAATTTTCTAAAATCAAACAGATTTTCTTGACTTAAATAAATTTTCTTGGATCTAAATACGCATTTCTTAAAGCAAGAGAATTAATTTTGTTGGAATAAGTGAAATTTCTTGTGTCAAAAAAAAAACTTTTTTTTCGCTCAAAAAAATAATCAGGAAGAAAATTATTTTCTTGGCTCTAGTGAACCTTTATTTCTGTGTAAAAAAAAAAAACTTCCAACCAAAATAGGTGGAGCTCCACTTAAATATATTTACTTTATCTTTTTGACAAAGCCATTCTCTTGTACTACAATAAGCACAACTAATCATATGGAAATATTATCTAAAAAAAAAATTGTAAATAAATCTCTATTCTCTTAAAACAATGAAGCCTCGAGACTGAGATGAGTATGCTGTTGCTTAGGATCTATCCGTAGCTCGGATTGTTTACTGTCTGATAATTGAGAAGACAGTGAAGTGCAACGTGCATGAAGGATTTGCTGGCCGATTGACTCAAGACCGGTACCGTAACCTAAGACTGCGGTAATGTCGATGGGACTTGGCTTAACCTGGAGCCCAACCTGGTAGTTAGCTTGTTAGTATATTCTATATATCTGTATATAAATGTCTGTATATGTATAGAAAGGACGAGAAGAAGGTATGGGGGAATAAAGTGTCCGGTCAACGCACCCCGCCTTCTTTGGATAATATATAAAAGCCACGGGGATTGAGCATCCTTACACCAGATCAACAAAATATGCTGAAGAAGATACTCCTTGTCGCGTTTGCCCTGACCGCGGTCAGGGCTCAGGTACCTAGCTTGGGATGGTGTCCTGATTACGTACCTATGGCTAATTTTGATATCGGAAAGGTATTTATAATTACATTTATGTTTTATTATTGCCGTATTTTTTTAGTGCAATAATTTTATAATTCAGTAAATTATTATTACAGTTTCTGGGAACGTGGTACGAAGCCGAAAGATACTTTCAACTCTCAGAAGTAGTGTCACGTTGCGTGATGGCTAATTACTCCCGTGGTCATGATAATAAATTGCGTGTGAGCAATGAAGTTACCAACAGATTGTAAGTAATTGCTTAATTCATTATTTAAGTCATAAGCTATTAAAACTCAATATTTATCGTTGTTTAATCTAATTTATCATTTTTATAACAACTTCATCTTTTATTAATAAGTTATTATCATATCATAATTACGCACTCAGTAAAATAATAATTTATAATAAAACAGCTAATAAATTTATTCATCTTTGTTTGTGTTTAGCACCGGAATAAAACGAGTTCTTGAGGGTGAGATAAAACCAGCGGCTTCTAAAGCTGAGGAAGGAAAGTTATATATTAGATACACAACTGTGCCACTGGTACCAGAAACATCTTATTCAGTCTTAGAAACTGATTACAAAAATTATGCTGTTTTATGGAATTGCAATGGTATTGGTCCATTTCATACACAAAATGCCTGGATTATGACACGACAACGTATTCCTCCTGGCGACGTAGTACAACAGGTAATTTATAATAATTTTTTTTTTATTAATTGAAGATTTTATTATTATTATTATTATTATTATTATTATTATTATTATTTTTTTTTTTTTTTTTTTTAAGGCTTACGGAGTATTGGACAAATATAAAATATCAAAAACTTTCTTCGTAAAAACTGATCAAGAAGATTGTGCGTTTTTAGACGCTCTTGGATCAACTGAAAAGCCAATAGCAAGTCCACAATCTGAAATCCCCGTTGAAGAAGCTCCCCAACAGTTGAGGTCAGCTATTACGCCTGATGAGACGCATGTCAATCAAATCAAAGACACGGAAAAGAAAGTAGAGGAGCCGGTTGAAAAAATAGAGCCTACTGTTAATGTAAAAGCTGTGATAACTGATGCTCCGGAAAAAATTGAGGAAGAAAAAGAAGATGAGGAAAAAAAAATAATTGCTGATAAGAAAGAAGCTATTGTTATTAAAGACATTAAGGACGAGCCCACTGATAAGGACTCTGAGGATAAAATTACTCCGGTTAAAGTTCCGGAGGTAATTTACAAAAAAAGCGCGGAGAAAAATGAAGAGAAAGAAAAAGAAAAAGAAGAAAAAATAATTGAGAAAGAAGAAAACAACACGGAGAAAGCGGAGGCAATCGCTGCCGAAATACCGAAATTGGAACCTGTTGCCGAGACACCTGATTCAAAGCCCGAAGAACAAGCGCCCAATTCTCAAGCAGATGCGCCAAAAGAAGAACTGAAGAATGAGAACAAAGTTTGATTGATTGGTTATTTTTAATTTTATTTTTAAGCACGGAAAAATTTTAAATTATGAGTAATGTTTAATCATTGATTAACTGTTCTCACTAGCGGTATGAAATTATAAAACCGGTCGGTTGTCAAGTTCAATGTTACTTTCTTAGATTACGTATTTAGCTTGTGTAGACTGAATGATGGAGAGAAAGAGTTGAAATGAAAAATAAAAATATTAAAAAAAAATTAATGTTAAAAAATGTACAAAAAAAAAAGAAAAAAATGTGAATAAATTGTTACATAAAAATTATTTATTTAAATAATGATTTTTCATTTTTATCCCATTTTTAAAAAATTTCAGACTTTATATTGCTCATTGATTTATTTAGTACTTACGTGAATAATATATAAATTTTTTTTGCTCTGAAAATAATTAAAAAATGTGTTAATAAATTAACACATCATGAAAAATATAAAATAATTGAAATAAATTACTTGCAGTCAGTATGGCAGTGAAGACTACCACAAAATTTGCAATAAATCTTCTCTTCCGTGTTCATAAATAAAAGTTCTACTTACTGTTTAGAATTTAAAAATACTATTATTTTTTTTTTTTTTTTTCTATTATTAAGAATGTTTGAGTACTAAATCAAGCCTAAAAAAGATTATTTTTTACGATTGATAAATAATGATCGTGACCAATATTTTGCATAGTAAAACAATAAATAAAAGAACAAAATACTTTTAAATTGACAGCAGTATGAGGTTAAATAATAAATAATAAATGTTATGGATGATTGGAAGATTTAAAATTTGCGGTACGTCTGTCGGTGTTTATTGAACCCCGTCGACATTACCGTTACTGACCTACTCACTGACAAAACATCTACCAGCGGAGTTTGTTGGTCGTTGGTCTCCAAGGCCAGTTTGAGATACAAGTTCATCCGAGAAGTACGTAAGAGTTGTTGAATATTTCATTAAAAACTAACGCTTATCTATAAAACAACGATCAAAACCCCGCGAATAATCGGTCAAGGTTTATTTAGACGCGGAATCATTTTATTATACCACAGGTTATTGACTGTTTATTTAAATAATTTAATTACTTATTCATTTATGAGATTTATATTTTTGTTTTTGGCGAACGCTGTGCTGTTAAGTGTTTGTATTTTTATTGTTGATAATTTAAACTCTGCATAATTAATTACAGAATTTACAAAAGGTTAGTCATGTTTTTTTTCTGGATTCCTTTGACGTTGTGTTTGATGGTGGGCAGTATCAATGCATTGTTGCCGACATTCGGAGCCTGCCCTGACGTTAAAACAATTGAAAAACTCAATGTTACTATGGTATGTCTCATTATTAGTTAGTCAAACAATTTTATTTTTTTTTTGAAAATTTTTCTTTTAATATTTCAATTTATTAAATAATTAACAATTTATCCTTCAGTATTTAGGTAAATGGTACGAAGCTGAGCGTTACTTTTCAATAAGTGATTTTGGAGCTAAATGTGGAACTTTCAATTACAGTAAAGAAGAAAATGGGTCGTTAAAACTATTGAGTTCACAAATATCGTCACTGTATGTTGAATCTCTTTATAATTTTGTGATATTATGGAGGTACTGTGTAAAATCACTTTTCTTATACAGAAAAAAAGGTTCACTAGAGCCAAGAAAATAATTTTCTTCCTGATTATTTTTTCGAGCGAAAAAAAAATTTTTTTTTGACACAAGAAATTTCACTTATTCCAACAAAATTAATTCCCTTGCTTTAAGAAAAGCGTATCTTAATCCAAGAAAATTTATTTAAGTCAAGAAAATCTTGTTGTTTTGAGAAAATTCAGCATCTTGCTCCGAAAAATTTAATTCTTGATAGAAGTAAATTTTCTTGTCTTGAGAAAATTTTTCTCTTGCTCCAAAAAATTAAATATAAAGATAGAATTAAATTTTCATTAATATTTTTATTGAAGTAGGTGGCGCTGCTTCCCTAAAGTATCTAAAAATCTTGATCAAATATAAAAATTTATTGTATCAAGTATTTATGATAATTTGAATTAAGAAAAAATGACTTCCACCAAGAATAGAATTTCTCGAAAAATTTTTACTTCGGCCAACACTACTTCGATCTTCCTTCAGGCACCCGAAAATTTTTTTGAGCCAAAAATTTTGTTCTCTAGTCAAGAAATTTTTTTTTCTGTCTCTAATACTCTTCAATTTTTGAATACGCGTGCTTCTTAGTGTCCTTTATACGAATAAATTTTTTTTAATAGTCCTTGCGGTGGTTATTTTCGAAATATTAGCAATTAAAAATGGCACATCTAACATGTATTCCCTATCCTGACCGTAGTTAGAGTGAACATTTTATTGAATAACAGCCATACTTTAATTAGAATTTTTTCAAAAACTGAGAATATTTAATTGAAGTTATATCAAGTATTTTTTTTATCAAAAATAACATAAACGAGCGATATTCATTTTTTTATAAAAAATGCATTATAAAAAAAGCGATAGTCTGTAAAGAGAGGCAGCTCTAGTGCGTGAGAAAGAAACCAATAACCATAACTTATTGGTGTCTTTATTTGCCGCAGTACCTCCTTAAACTAAATTGTGTTTAGAACTTCATAAAATTTACGATTAATTTTTCTTCACAGAACGGGTGTAGAGTCGTCAATAATAGGACGCGCAAGACCTATAGAAAGAGCTGACGATCCTAAATTTACTGTATCATACCCATCGCTACCGATCCAATACCCCATGCCTCATTGGGTTCTGGGGACTGATTATGACACTTATGCTGTGCTTTGGAGTTGCAGTAATGTCGGTATTTTCAGGTAAATAAATCAAATCAATTTACAAGATGAGAAAATTTCAATAATTCTAATAAAAACTTGATAAAGTAAAAACGTAAAAAATTATTTTTATTTTTAGCATGCGGAGCGCTTGGATTCTGACACGAGAAAGACAGCCACCGGTTCCAGTTCTCGAGCAAGCGTACAAGATTTTAGATAAAAATCAAATTAGCCGTGCTTACTTTTCGCGCACTGACCAGAAAAATTGTCCAACAGTAACAAATTAGTGTGATTTTATTCTTGTTATATTTTTAATGTCTTATTTATTTAATTATTTATTGTCAGCTATTTATTAAAAATAAAGTGTATTTATTGGATTAATTACGACTTTATATTTATTCAAAAATCGATAACAATGCAAAGATATCTATTTATGTTTCTGCCTGTCAATCATCGCTGCCTATCTCATATTTTAAGCCGCTTTTTTTATAAATAATTAAGATAAAAATGATAAGTTCTATTTCGCGGTCAAGAATATAAAACCCGAATTTTCGGGCTTACAATCCATTCTCATTTTACCGCCGAAATAAGTTAAAAAAAAAAATGTCTGCATTATTTAATTGCTGTGTATTATTTTTCTGTTTGGTCGTTGGGAGTTTCGCCCAAATTTCACAACTTGGATCATGTCCAGCCGTACAACCGGTTCAAAATTTCCAACCACAAAACGTAATTTTAATTATTGTTATTACTTATTATTATACAAATATAATTACTGAAATTCTGATAAATTAAATATTTCTTACGTCAGCTTTCAGGAATGTGGTATCAAGTTAGGCGCTACGATAATTTTTACGACATTAATGAAAGATGCAATCGTGTAAATCTCACTATCGAGTCGGGTAATAGATTGAGAATAAGCGAACGTTCAGTCAACACTCTGTAAGTAATTACATTTGTTAAAAAAATTTTTTCTGTAGTTTTTCTTTTCGTATAATTTAATATAATATTAATAATATAAAAATCAATAGCTCTGGAGAACCGATAACAACGAATCTAACATTAACTCCAGTAAATAGAGCACAGGCTCAATACAGAGTCAGGCTATCAGTGTTCTCAAGACAGACTTCTCTCGTTACTCTCTTGGATACTGACTACTCCAGCTTCGCAATCTTTTACATGTGTCAAGACTTCGCTAACACTCGGTAATTTTTATATTAGATTGGAACGTAGATCATCAATTTTTTACGACGCTAATTGATAAATAAAATAATATTTTTTTAGCCTGGTTTACCTTTGGTTGATTTCACGTCAACGTACTCTTGGTCTCAACACATTGGGAAGACGTTTGAGAGTTGAGGCTGCCAACAATTTGCCAATCGGTGAACTGCGTACCGTTGGTCAGCTTAATTGTCCCGCATGATAGATTAAATGATTATTTAATACATTTCAATGAGTTTGTAATGTGAAAATTAGTTTTGAATAAATAACAATGCAATTTATTTCTGTTATTACAATTATTCATTATTCCTTCATTGACGATTGTCAGTAATTAATAATATACAAATTTTTAATTTTAATTAAAAATTTAATTTAATTATTAATTTTAATATCACTTAAATAATAGTTTCAAAATATATTCATCCTTATTGAAGCTCAAATTTTTTATACAATAAGAGAAAGAAAATTAATTACGATGGCAAGAATTTCTTGGCTCAAAAATTTGTTGAGATAAATATTTTAAAATTATTAATTTCTTAACAAACAAAAATTAATTTCTACCTTTATTATGATAAAAAAAAAAAACATTAAATTCAATAATTTAATTGATTTATGTTTATCAAAAATGAATCTAAATTATTATACATAATATTTAAAAAATACTTTAAGACGAAAAACCTCAAATTTTTCAGAAGTAATTAAAGCTCGTTTACATTCTATTTATTTAATTATTTTCATATAACTTTTTTCTGTCATCGTAAAACGAGATATCATTAATTTTATTCTAAATAGATGTAAGAAATAATGGCGCTTAAAAAAACTTCAATTGCAACGTATAATTCTAGACAGCATATTATTACACTTGAACAAATATTCTTATTTGATATTGAAGTATTCATTCTAATAGCGTTTATATGATGTGAGTTTCACTATAATAAGTAATAGAAACTAGATCTTGTTAAAAACTGATCAAGCTTCCGCTACAATAATTCAATTCGACAATATAGTTGTTGACATTGAAAGGTAACATGTAATTTTTAACCTTGAAACGCATCCAGGAGATAACAAAACCACGCGGTTCGCTGAGCTGTCATCAGTTTACTCACGTATTCATCGTAAATACATCGTAGTTACTCTTTATTTTCATTGCTGCATTATACTTCACTAAACATTGAAAACAAAGCTTCTACTCATAGTAAAATGACATTTATCTTTTTCCGATCCACAAAGCTTCAGTTTAATTATTATATCTAGGTCCTTGCAACATATTTATTAAAAGAAATAACATTTATTCAATTATTTTCGATTTAATGTTCACTTAGATATTTATAAATATGCAAAAACGTCTATTTTTGTCCAAAGAAATCTACCTGTCTGTCAATCATCGCTATCTTGTATTTCAAGTTATTATTTTATAAGTAATGAGAATTCAAAATGATAAGCATGTTCACGAGTATAAAACCTAAAATTATAAGCTGAGAACTCACAATTTAGACTCAAGTATTCAATCGATACGTCTATTAATTTAAATAAAATCAAAAAATGATTGGATTATTTTACTTTAGTGTATTATTTATCGCTGGTACATTTGCCCAGATAGCACGACTGGGACCTTGTCCATCTGTACAACCAGTTCAAAATTTTCAGCCTCAAAATGTAAATTTATTCATTTATTTATTTATAACCTGCACAGAAAAAATAAATTTCTTGCGCCAAGAAAATTTTAAGGAAGACATAAGTTATTTTGGAGCGAGAAGAAATTTTCTTGGCTCAAAAAACTTTGATTTCATTAAAGAAATTTTAATATTTTCTTGAGCTAAAAAAATTTACAATTTAGTCAAGAATTTTTTTTTTTCAGTGTGCACGAAAAGAACAAGATGACACTGGGTATCATCCCAGATTATACTCAGTGATATCTGATCATAATCATACTAGCTACTATCTGAAATTTTTTTTCACTCAGTATAATCTGGGATGATATCCAGTGTCATCTTGTTCTTTCCGTGTGCAGATAAATGAATTCTAAATTATTTTTATTAGATTACAGGGACCTGGTATGAGGTAAGACGATATAATAACTTGTACGAACTTAATCACGTGTGTACTCGTCTCAATGTAACCGCAGGACCAGGTAACACATTGACATTAACGACACGTTCTATTAACGACCTGTAAGTTATTATTTTCTACTCAGAAAAAAAAAATTACTTGAATTAACTAAATAATTTTGAAGATTTTCACCTTCTTGATTTGAATAAAAAAATTGTGAAACTAAGAAAATTTTCTTGATTCAATAAATAAATTTCATTTGATTCAAGAATTTTTTGTTTTGATTTAAGACAATGAAACTCTTCAAAATTATTTTCTTGGTTTAACAATTTTTCTCTTGATTCAAGTTAATTTTTTTTCTGTGTACTTAAAATCATACTTAATAATCAAAAAGAGGGTCAAAAAATTTTTTTGAAATTTTTGTGTAATTGAAATTTTAGTTCGGGAGCTGTATCGGATTGGTCGGTCACAGGAACTCCAATAGGTAATATCTCAGTCCCACAATACAGAGTCAATGTATCAGATCAAGCAATCGCGAATAATTCTGTAGTAACTATCCTGGATACCGATTACACCGGATTCACAATGCTTTACATGTGTCGTCAAGTCAACGAGATTCAGTAATTTAATAATCAAATGAAACACAAACCAAATTTATTTATTTTTCAATTTATTAACTATTTAACTAATTATTTACAGCTTGATTAATCTCTGGTTGCTGTCACGTGACAGGAGACTTAGCTTTAGAACTTGGAGAAGGCGCTGGTGGGATGCGTTCTCAAACGGCCTGCCAATAGGAGTTATGCGCGGCGTTCGCCAGAGAAACTGCCCTGTCTCAGATTAAATTATTATTTTTTCCACAAAAATGACTCTATAATGTGAAAATTAGTTTTGAATAAATAATAAATGCAATTGTTATTAATGCAATAATAATAATTTTAGATAAATATTACTATTGTAAGACTGACAGGTGTCAGTGATTACCTCTATGAATTTTTTAATGTATTACGGTCGTCTATATATAACAGAGAACACACAATTTACTTTAGTTAGAGTATTGCATTTATATCAATACTCCTTTAATAAAATTAATAAAATTAAAAGTCATCATGTTGGTTTTACTTTTTTTTTCTTTAATTACTAGTTCAGTAGCTCAATTTTTAGGGCTTTCTAACTGTGCTTTTATACAACCAATGCCAAATTTTCAAATAAATAATGTAATTTTTTATATATTTTATTTTTTTTAAATTACTTGGAACAATTTACAGTCTTATTTATTTTTTAATTTTTAATATTAAGACTTTTTTAAATTCTTTTTAAAAATTGAAAATTATTTTATTTATAATAATAATAAAAATTAAATAAATAATGTGAAACTGTTAGTTTACAGGAAGGTGGTATGAAATCGAACGTACAGATAATTCGTGGCAAATTTTTGAAAGCTGTACTACTATCGATTATGTCTTTAACAGAAATAATAATACACTAGACATCCACGGCCATGTTATTAATACTGAGTATAAATAATAAAATTAATATTTTTAATAACACAGTAAAAGAACACGATTAATTTTAGGACGGGAGCGAGGCAACATTGGGACGGTGTCGGTTTGGTAGATCCCAATAATCCAGCATCGATGGTAGTTCAGTTGCCACCGCTTGCACAAGTAGAAATGGCAAATTACATTATTGTCGATACAGACTACCGAAATTACTTAGTTGCAGTCCAGTGTGTTACCAGAGGACTCAGGTAATAATCCCAAATAATTTATCATTTTATTGATTGATAATTTTATATTTGCTGTGGATAAACAATCGAGTTCTATTCAACAGTCCCCCTAATGGCTGGCTATTGTCACGAAGACGTGACCTTGATCAACAATACATTTCGCGAGGCGAACAAGTACTCAGAGAAAATGGGGTCTCGATGTTTACGCTGATCACTAATGACCAACGAAACTGTCAAAATTAAAGGAAAATTCAATATAAATGTTTTTACTGCGGCTGCTAAAATTGTATAAATTTTAATTGGTCTTTTAACTTTTTATGCTTATAAGCCTAATGGAGCACTTGTATAAATAATTGACAATTTATGAATAAATACTATTGAGCATATGACCCAAATTTTTTTGTGATTTAAATAAAGTCATTAAAAATTTAAGATAATTTTTTATTGAAGCTTATTAACAATTTTCCTGCGAAACAAATCGAAATATTATTTCCATATTAATGATTTCACAATTAAATGTCGAAAATAATTTTTTTTTCATTGACTTAAAACTAAAGTTTGACTTCATTAAAACTAAAGTTAAATCTAAAATAAAATTATAATTGTTATTTTATAAATAAGATTTTGATGTACACCTACACCTAAGTTTATTACTTTGTATTAAATTTTAAGTAAAAATTTATAAAACTATGTACAAACCTTTGCCATTCGGCTAATTGCCTTGGCATATTAAATAAATAGATACATACATACATACTTTTTAATTTAATATACGGTAAAAGGCCCAGTTATTCACACTGGCTTAGTTATTGATACTTGCAATTTTATTTTAATTAAAAAAAATCAACTCTATTAGTAAATTAATAAATATAATTTCTGAATTATAAATTTTAAGATAATTATTTTTTTCAAAACATTTTATTTTTAAATTCTTTATTTAAATAAAATTGCAAGTGTTACACAATCAGGCCAGTGTCAATAGCTGGGTTTTTTACCTTACTCTCTTCAAATTTTTTTCGATAAAAAGTTGAAGCTTTTATTGACGAAGAAAACATCAAAGTTTGATTAAGAAGATTAATATCAAAGTTATTCTTAGATTTGCTATTAATTAGTATTGTTTTTTGATTGACAGCTGTCAGTGATTAGTTCTATGAATTTTTGAATATATATTACAGTCGTCTATATAAAACAGAAGACACTTGATTTACTTCAGTATAAGTATTTCACTTATTACTTCTCAAGTGAACTTTACTAATAGTAGCCATGTTAAGTTTCATATTATTTTCATTGGTCGCTAATTCTCTCGCCCAATCATCAGATCTCATTAATTGCTCTTCCGTAACACCAATGGCCGGTTTTCAAGTACAAAAAGTAATATTACATGTCTCTAATTAATTAATTTAAAGAGATACATTGATAAAAAAAAAAAGAGAAAAATTCTTGAACTAATAAATTTTTCTATATTTTAAAGTCAATAAAATTCTTCAAAATAATTTTCCTGGGTCAAGAATTTTTCTCTTGAATTAAGTTAATTTTTTTCAATGTAATAAATAATTTTAAAACATAAAAAATACGCAAAAATGTACTTATGAATTAATATTATTAAATAAATGACTAATTTTTTTAAATCAGTACACAGGAAGGTGGTATGAAATAGAATACACGCTAAATTCATGGCAAACTCACGAGTCCTGCACTGCATTTCTGTATCAGTACGATGCAAATAATAATACACTAGAAATCCGGGGGCGAACTTTGAACATTAAGTATGAATAATTAACACTTATGAATAGATATTGAAAATAATTTTTTCAACTTAAAAATGATTAATGTCAGCTAATTTTAGCACAAGATTGAGGCATCAATGTGATGGTATCACTAAAATAAATAATGATAATCCTGCGTCCATGTTAATTTACTTGCCACCATTCGCATTACCAGTACCGATAAACTTCATTATTGTTGACACCGACTATGAAAGTTACGGAGCTGCTATACAGTGTTCTGCAAGTGAGCCTAGGTAATTACTAATTATTAATTATTCATAACTTATGTAAATAAATAAATTACTCAATTTTATTCGACAGTCTTCCGAATGCTTGGCTGATAGGAAGAAAACGTACCCTTGAGCGAAAATACATTTTACGGGGTGAACGAGCCCTGAGAGCCAATGGTATCCCGACAAATAGACTAGTATACAACAGGCACCCAAATTGCCCCGAAGATTGGTAGAAATAAATAAATAAATAAATGAATTTATTTATTTGCTTATTAATTTTTTATTTTTAACGGTACAATGAAGTACTTGCATAAATATTTGTTTATTTATTTATTTATGAATAAATTGAACATATTCAACCGACTTGTCTTGTAATTATTGAATTGAAGTTGATAATAAGGACAGATAAAAGCGGTAAAATAAAAAGAACTTCCAAGAATTTCGTTTAGTTTTTGTTATACGTGCAAGTCGATAACTAACATTGCCAAAGTGACAAGCTATTCTTTGTAGATATTGAATAGTAATACACATGTATATGTCATGCTATTTTTACCTTGAAATATACTCACGAGATAACAAAACCACGCTGTTTGTCAAGCTATGTCATCAGTTTTACTCGCGTATTCACAGTAAATAGTTGCACTTTTTTTTATTGCTCTACAATATTTCATTTAATCTTTACAATGAAGACTCTATTTGTAATTACGTTTACTTCAGTTGTAATTAATGGAGCTTTAGCTCAGTCATTTAATTTAGGTCCATGTCCAAAAGTAAATACGGTTGAAAATTTAGACATTGAAAGAGTGAGTTATTTTTTTTGAGCTAATAAAATTTATTAAAAAAATATTTTTAATGAAATTTTTTATTTTTTCAGTACTCAGGACTTTGGTATGAAAACGAACGTAGTTTTCCAATGATTTTTGAACTTGGTGGTAGGTGTGTTACCGCCAATTACAGTGCCAATAGCGACGGAACAGTAAAAGTTGTCAATAGTCAAATTTCATCGATGTAAGTCTTCGAAAATGATTTTAATTTAAAACTTAGCAACTTTGTTGCAATATCCGTGAATAATAAATAACAATTATTAATTTGTACTCAGCATATTTATTTTCCGTCAACTAGTATGATTTTATAGGTAGTTTTTATGAATGAGAAAAAATTGATTACATTACAGAACTGGTTCGGAATCTTCAATAACCGGCACAGCTCGCGTCAATGACGAAGCATGCAATAATACGACCTGTGGTAAGTTAATAGTGACATTTCCAATCCCAGTGATTGGAGAAGTCGATGGAACTTACTGGGTTCTTGAAACAGACTATACAACTTATTCTGTTGTATGGAGTTGCACTGATTATAAAGCTTTTCAGTGAGTTATTTTTTTACGCATTTTAATAATTATTAATTAAATTATTTGTAAAAAAAAAAATTACTATCAACAATTATTTTCAGTATATCATACGCTTGGGTTTTAACCAGGGATCGAAACCCTTCAGAGGCTGTTGTAAAGCAAGCAACGAGTCTCTACGAAAACGACAACCCCGAATATATTTTCATGACAAAAACTGATCAAGAAAACTGTTGATAGTTTTCTCGAGTTTTAATGTTGAATATAAAAAATTACTTTATCGAAATAATTATACAAATCAAATCGTTAATGTAAAATAATAAATCTTGTTAAAGTAAACAATTTTACGAATTTATTCAAACTGCTATTTAATTATTATTATTATTATTATTATTAAGTTAAGGAAATTACTCATCTATCTATCTATCGATACTAATATGATTAAAGTATATGGCATGGTGGTGATTACTTATCCGGAACCTATATTTTTTTGGCTTAGAAATAATAAATTTTTCTTGTAACTAAATTTATTCTATTCGATTGTCATTTGTTTAAAATAAATTTTTTTTTTCACATCAATTATTATTCATTTTTGTAAGAAAGATACGGGAATGTTATAATGATTGCACATTGAAAGTTATAATGAATATTAGCTAGAATAATTACATGGGTAAAAGGTGCATGCAAATTTGATATAATTGGGAATCTGTGCAAGTTAATACAATACTCTAATTAAATTTCAAGTCTAAGGTACCGACGGGTCACAAGGCCTAGCTAAGGGAGATTTTGAAAAAAATCGAAAATATTGCATTTAATTATTGAAATGTAGTCTTAATTTTTATATTAATACATTAGCCACAAAATATAATAAAGTAATGATAATTTTCACCATAAACATAGGGGACATCCATTAATTACGTGAGCTCAGAATGAGGGGGGAGGGGTCCAATGAAATCTCACCAAATCTCATCTAAGCCGAGGGGGGGATAATCAAAAATCTCACCTCAACTTCAAAAAATATAAAATATTACAGACATTAAAAAAAAAAAATTATTTTGAGTGTTTATTTTGCCCGCTAAAATAGATTTTATGTCTATTAAAATCATTTACGCTGATGATTTAAACAAGCTCTTCTCAGAGCTAATGGTGAATTTCTTTAACATTATAATTATAATATAAATAATTTATAAATAATATGTATGTATAAAAAAAGTACATGAGTCTCCATGGATTGAATAAAAATTAAAAAAAAAGTGTTGTTTTTATGTTTTTTTTGCTTTGAATTTTATTTAATTTAAATAAATTAACTATAGTATACTTGAATGGTTTATTATTCTCCCGAATAATAAAAATAATTTTAATTTAAAATATTTTTAGCGTCTGTTTAACCGCTAGAAAAAGGATCTAGTCAAACACTTATAAGAAGAATTACGCCTTCGGGCTTAATCGTTAAAACTCGGGAATAATCGTATAAACTCGGGAATAATCGTATCACGCTATGGCCGTCGCTCATGCGCGCCTTGGTTAGCGGTAGAAAAGCCGGCTCGCGTGGTCTGATGCAACAGTTGTGCTTGGACTTCTGTACTAGTACGACTACTCTGTGCTAATCAATTTGATAATTCTTACTTGCATCTCACATTCATTCAAATATTTAAATCAGTCATTAAATATAAATAATTATAGTAGATTCAATTATACTTTAAATTCTCAATTCATTTAAATCAGTTTAATAGTTCAGTGAATTAACATAAATAAAATCAAGTAAATTTATTTAGTGACGCCACGCGGCCATTACGCGCCACCGTGACAAAGGATTGCATCCGCCACGCGGCTTTAGTCAATCCATAATTGACGCGTGATATTAACCATTAATTACATTGAATTAATTATTAATATTTAATTACGATCTTATTTAATTTAACTTATAAATAATTAAATTCCAACTTCAAATCATTTGACTAATTTCTACACGAAATTATCAAACTCAATTGACTAACATTCTGTTATCAATTGAATATTATTAGCTCTCGCCTTGAGACTATTTATTTAACTAATTAAACATTAGTAGCTCTCACCTTGAGACAATTCATCTAATTAATTGAACATTATTAGCTCTCGCCTTGAGACAGTTCATCTAATTAATTAGATATTACTAGCTCCCGCCTTGGGACAGTACAAATTCAAATTATCGATAATTTTCTTTATACGGCGGCTGAGCTCACCCCTATTGCGTTATTGCAACGTAATTTTACACACACACACTTACACACATACAACTTACTTGTATAATTTTCAACAAAGAGGTTTTTTCCCAGCCTAGCTGGGTTTTCCTCCTTTGGGGACAAATAAATCCTTTTAAATTGTTCCCCAAAAATTCCAAGTATTATTATTTAATTTCCTAATCCCAACTTTATCATATAATTTAAAACAATTACGGGAATTATCCGCATTGGATAGTTTTCGACAAAACAGCGTCAATCTCACGTAAGGGGAAGGGGAGGGGGGGGTCCAGACAAATCTCACCTAAGGGGGGGGGAGGAGTCTAAACTGATCGAAAAATAGCTCACGTAATTAATGGATGTCCCCATACACAAAATTGAATTTTTTCAAAAACCTTGCTAATAGGCCTTATTTTACTACGGTAGAGTAATAAGGCCTGCGGATTAAACATACTGAAAATAGTTATACTAAAATCAATAAAATTGGTATTATAGATCAATCATCACTTAAATTTAGCAACAATACTTCTTAAGATGTTGAATTTAAAATTATTAATTATAAAAAATGTTTACCATTTACTCAAACCATTTTTTATGAATTTTTCTGCGCTACTTTAGCATATGACGAATGATGAAATATAAAAAACAGGGAACGTTGTATCGGGACTCTATAAACTTGTAGCGACATTTCTATGCTAGACGCTTCTACTAGAGAAACCTTTAGCGGAAGCGGTTATTTTAAAGAGCATTTCTATCAATTAGGCTTTATTACCCGCGGGTACCTTAGATCTAAAAATGCAATTTTATAAAGCACCCAGCAGAGCGAGAGAGTAACAGCTAGTAAATGATAAGAGACGATAATTTTTGTAGCAAAAAAAATATAATTTATCAAATATTTGTCGATGATAATAACAACAAGAGATTTTTATGAACATGGTTAAATCTATTATTTGCAGAATAATAATAATTTTAATCGGATATTACGTCGTTAGTGCTGTAGAAATAATTATGTTTTACACATGTATTCTAGATAAAAAATTTTTTCTTTACAAGATTCGGAAACCAGATTGTTGTTTTTAATTACTCAGGATTATTATAAGTTAATTACTTTTAATTTTCTGCAAATATATTGTTGAAACATGTGATGCAAAAAAAATATTGATTGTAATTTTTTTTAGAATTTTATTTTTTATTTATCAGGTGTTTATGTATTTGTTAAAGACAAATGATCAAACTTTTTTTTTCGATAAAACACAAAAAGTTTCTCTTATTAATTTAATATCCAACTTAATATTTGACTATAATTTAGACTTCTTGCTTTGTAAAGAAGCGTTTCAATGTTTTTGGAATGAGACACTTTGTGACAAGTAATTGCAACTTTAATGACCAAGCGATAGCAAGTTATCAACTAATTTTTTACAATGTCTAAAGAAATTTAATAACTGTTCTCAATTACTAACAATCTTTGTCATTAGTTGAGTCATACATGTCAATTTCTCTTACTCAATGCATGTAAATATTATTAAAATTTAATTTCAATATAAAAATTTTTATCCATATTTATAAAACAGCTAATATAATTTTTTGATTTAAGTTTTTGAGTTTTACCTCGAAATAAAAAACTTCTAATACTATTTTTAAAAGTTCCTAATTTATCTGAGTTTAATAGTACCAATTATTTGATAATGACAACAATTTAACTCAATCACGAGTAGTATTGATGATTTCTTATTTTTGAAAGATTATTTTGAAAATAACTATTAAAATAATCATTAAGAAAATAAGTTGTTTTTATTTTTATTATTCAGTGACTTACATTGAAGATTAAACGTAAAGATTTAATGCTAATAATAATAACTGATAAATTTAAATGACTTTAAAAGTCGCCAGATGTATAAATGACTTAAATGATATTTTACTATTTTTAAAAAATTGATAAAAATAGTTTTACATCTACGTGACAAATGAGATTGAAAAGGATATTAAATTTTATGTCAATAGGTATAACTTTATCTACTGGATTGAATCTAAGAATAGAAAATTTAATTACTTTTTAGCGAATAGAATTTAAAAACGTATCTGGATTATGAATCCAAACAATATAATAAAAAGGAGCATTTTCTAATTTTTGTAAAGTTCTACGAGATTGTTTTATTGAGAACAATCAAAGAACCAAGTAACTAGAATGATGTTTGGTTTAACTATCATTTGCTGCGTTACTGCTGCAGCTTACGGTCAGTTCTTCAATCTTGGAAGATGTCCAGAGCCACATACACCGTTTGTCTTAGATTTCGATAGAGTAAGTTTTTTTTAGACTCAATGATTTGATTGATTAATTAATGAAATGTTTATAGTTTGCTGGTAAATACTATGAAATTGAAAGAAGCTTCAATAATTGGGATGAAGTCGGTGGCAAGTGTCCGACATCTTATTATATACAAATACCAGATAATGAACTACTAGTTATCCATTCCGATATTTCAGAAATGTAAGGATTTGATTTGATTTATTTTGAAGACAAATTTTTAAATCTTTAATAATTATTTTAAAATTGATATTCTTTAGAACTAACATGCAATCAGGACTTATTGGTAAAGCAACAGTAAATGGAGCAAAATTAAGTATACATTACCATAGTCCTATCATGGGTGATAAAACTAGAGATGTCTGGGTAATAGACACTGATCACGATACCTTCGCAATTCTTTGGGCTTGTACTAACTACGGATTCATACAGTAATTTTTTTATATTTATAGTTTACAAGTTTTAGCTTAAAATTTTATCTCAAATCGCGTTACAGATGCCATAAGGGTGTATAATAAAAAGCATATTTTTTTTTGTCCAAAAAAAATTTTTAGTTTGGTGAACATTTTTTTTTGCATTTCTGCACATTTCATACTAAAATATGTTAATTCCCGAAAAAAAATTTTTTTATACGTCCTTATGGCTCCCGGGACTCACCTCGGATGCCATAAGGGCGTATAAAAATTTTTTTTTTGGAAACTGACGTATTTTTTCATGAAATGTACAGAAACGCGAAAAAAAATTTTTCTTCAAACTAAAAATTTTTTTGGACTTCGAGAAAATAATCGAATTTTTATTATACGCCCTTATGGCATCCGAGGTGGGTCCCGGGAGCCATAAGGGCGTATAAAATTTTTTTTTTGCATTTCTGCACATTTCGGACGAAAATACGTCGATTCCCGAAAACAAAATTTTTATACGCCCTTATGACATCTGAAACATGAAATAATTTAATGAGTTAATTATTCATTCACAGCGTTACATACGGATGGACACTTGTAAAAAAATCTTATATTAACCGAGATTTCTCTGCACAAATTCAAGCTGCATTTAAACGTGCTAAAATTCCGCTAATGTCAATGCGCAAGGTTGATCATACTAATTGTCCATAAATTTCATTTTTTATTATGTCTTATGTTTTTAATCACTTAAATTTTAATTATATATTTCTTTTAATATTTATGAAACTTTCCTGAAATAAAAATGAATTAAAATTAATAATTTTTTTTGCGCCTTATTACTTATAATATTTATATTTTTATCAATGTGTTATGCATAAAAATATTTTCTTACTTACGCTTGATTAAATTTTCACGAACTTGATTCAAAGAAAATAAATAAATGAATTGATGAAAGAAAAAACAAAATTTTTCAGATAACATTTTGACGCCGTGGTGATAAAAGTGTTGTATTGCTTGAAGAACTTTTTCTTTATTAAGTGAGATTATTTATTATGTTATAAAAATTATTTAAAAAAAAAAATTATGTTACATACAATCGTGATTTTTTGTGTTACTTTATTTGCTTACGCTGAAGAAATTAGTCCTGGTCGTTGTCCACATGTAATGTTAGATACTCAGTTAAATTTATCGAAGGTTAGTATTTTTATAAATTAAAAAACAAATTATTTCATAATAAAACAAGAGATTAAAATCGGATAATCGGTTTTTAGTATCAAGGACAGTGGCATGAATATAAAAGAAGCACTAATATTTGGAGTAATACGGAGAAATGTACATCAATGACATACAAAAAAATTGGAAACCGATGGACGGTTATATTCGCAGGAATTTCATCAGTGTAATTGTTTTTATATTTTCACTACTGGATTTTTTATTTTGGTTTAAAAAATAACGAAAATTTGTGCTCATTAAATGCTGTTATCGCTTATTATTAGCACCACCTGATATTTGCCATAATAACAGTAGCGATCGTCACTTGATATTGATTCCCCGACTGATGAAGCAGGTAACCGTTACCTCAATCAGTCGCTAGTACCGACTATCAATCAGTAATTATTAATGATAAATTTTTGGCATTTATTTAAAAACTTGGAATTAAATCCGTTTAAAAAACAAACTTCAATCTTTATCAAGAGTTTTCAATTTATTAGCTTTATTAGTTTGATACATAATAAATTAAATTATTATTTATTATTTACGAAAGGATGATTAACGAATTAATAACAAAAAAAATATACCAAGTATAAAAATAGCTTGAATGTTTATTAAAAAATTTTTATACTTTAGACCTGGTTATACTGGCTCCCATTCAACAACATTTTCCGATGTATCGCTCATTGGCAATAGTAAAATCGGAGTCATTAATTACCAAGCCATTTTAGGCCCGGCTTATAGCGAGTATTATATTCTTGAAACGGACAACGAAAACTATTCGATAGTTTGGAGTTGCGAGAACAAAGAATCTGGACAGTAAGTAAATTTGAATCTTACAAATATATATTGCTACACAGAAAAAAAATGTTCTTGAATGAAGTATATAATTTTGAAGAACTTGATATTGTTGATTTTAGTAGAAAAATTCTTGATTTAAGGAAATTTTACTTGATTCAAGAATTTGTCGTCTTGATTCAAGACAATTACCCTCTTTAAAATTATATTCTTGGTTTAAGAATTTTTCTCTTATATCAAGTTAATTTTTTTTTCAGTGTATGACTTTTAAAAATTTTTTTTTTTTTTTTTTTAGCAAGAGAAATGCCTGGATTCTCAGTAGAAAGAGACACCCAACCATAGATATTGACAAAATAGCTAGAATAACATTTGCAAAACATTGTATTGAAATACCAGCAATGTCAAAAGTTAATCTCGATGATTGCTGACAAAATTTACTAATTATAGTTATAAATTTATTTCATGTTTTGTTTAATAGATTTACTACTCGTAATTTTAAAATATTAAATTTCTCTGTGATCAATTTCTAGCTTAATTTTTAGGAATAAAAAAAAATATTTATAAGAGGTTTGTTAATTTCATAAATTTGAAATAAAATTTTTAAAAAATCGTTGAAAGTTGATTATTTTTATGATCATATTTTTTATTTATTTTTTTTATTGAAAATCTATCAATCATAATAAAATCATTTTTAGATTTTAATAATTGCAGTGTTTAGAAGCCACAAATTATCTAAAACCAAAAATTACATTAAAAATTTTTTATAGTAATATCAAAAATATAATTTTTATAACTAAAATTTATCGTTGTTATTTCCGGTGGTAAAAATTAAAAAAAAAATGTTATCACAAGTCACTTATATTTCAAATAGTATAAAAAGCTACTAGTCGTTGTTTTTTTTTCAATCACACACTGAGAGAAAATTTTATTCAATATAGTAATAAAATTTTATTACTATGTAATAAAACGTTTATTTGGCTAATAAAGGGGAAGGGGAAATAAACAAGGAGGTTAGGTTAGGATGTTTCGTTGAAACATCTTTATACTATTTATTTGTTAAAAGATTTTATTGTGAAAATATATTTGAATATATTATAATTAATTGATAAATATTAATTTTTTTTTTTGAAATTATTCGTTTTAATGACTTAATATTCGTATTAAAAACACATATTAGTATTTAAGAAAATTTCATTAAATACTAATAAAATTTTATTAAATACTAATAAAATTTTATTCATAGGGAATATAATTTTATTACTATTAACTAAATTTTCTTTTCAAGTCCAAATAGACTTTTTTATTACTATTAAATAAAATTTTCTCTCAGTGCAGAAGTACACATTTAAGCTATCGTATTTAATTGAATAAAAATGTTTAGACTCGCAATAAGTTTCTGTCTAATCGCAGCATCTTTGAGCGACTCGCTGCAGCCGGGTCCATGTCCTGAGATTACTGTGGACCCGATAAATTTGGATAAAGTATGTTTGTATTTCATATTAAAGAAAATATTAAACTTCTACTTGGCGTGATATATTAAATAAACAATTGATTGCAGGTAGCTGGAGTATGGCTTGAGCACAAACGCAGCCTTAACAATTGGGGAAATTTAGAAAAATGTGCAAAGGCCATTTGGCATGTTCCTCACAATGGTATAGCGAAAGTTGTTCTAACCAACATTTTGAAAATGTGAGCATAAATTTTATTTTTCTTTAAACAATTAATTCTCTGATAGCTTATAAAAAAAAATTTCTACAAAACATTTTGAGTTAGCCCACTGAATTTTATAATAATTAATTTAATTTGTTGTTTTATATGGGTGATTCTCTGTAAGGACGTCTTAAATCTGTACAAAATTGTTCGACCAAATTATTTTTGATTTTATTAGAAAAATAATTAACAAGGGCTACAAAACTATCAGCTTAATCATAATAAATAAACAGCCGATTTAATTTTTACTTTTTCGATATTTGTGTATTTTTTGCCATATATAACATGACAGGGGACTTTTTGCCAGGGGACTGTTTTTATTATCAAATTGTGTTAAAGAACAAGAACTGGAGAGTCAGATTTATAGGTTATTTTTATTAACACTTTTTACAAAATTAGGAACAAGTTTAAATTAGAGAACACAAAGTCTTTTTGATCACAGTTTCCTTTTAATGAAAGTTACTCAAATAGTTAGAATCGTAGTTAGACACCGTAAACTTAAAGAAGAAGAGGTGCTGGCTCTGTTGATGATGAAAAGACTTCTAGAATGTGTTCAAGGGAGCCTGCAGGTGCACCTTACAAGGTGATGACCAACCGGGCCTTGGGTACAATGATTTTCTCCGAGGTGTACCACAAGGAAGCTTGCAGGTCACCTAGCAGGGTGAAAAGAAGTACCGAGCCTTGAACACGATGATTTTCTCGTCTAGAAGTCACTAAAGATGATAATCTCTTCATTAGGTTATAAACACGCTGACTCAGATGATTTTCTCACACTCAGAATAACAAGATTTTACTTGTAGACAAGTTCGTTGCAGTGAAAGACTTTTATTTTAGCTTGATATCACGATGTGAATAGTAAGCGTTTGAATTGAAGACTGACTCGCAGCGCCGGACGGACTAGCTTATATACTTGACTGGCGGGATTCTCGAATTTTCAGCTGGAATTCTCTCGATTGAGTTCGAGAGACTTCTTTTAGATAAATTCACTTTCCAGATTAACAAAATGAATGATTTTGATATAAAAATGAATTTTTACTTTATTTTAACTCTTTTGATTATTAATTAATCGATTTTTAATTAATATTTAGCCAAAATTAAGAATTTTGATCTAGACTTTTCTTTTACGAGATGTTTCTAGGCGCAGACGCGAGTAAGGCGCAGGCGCGAGCTAAGCGAAAGCGCCAGTGTTGTTGTTTAGAGTACTCATAACGATCAATAGGTGGCGCCACATATTTTATTAATTATTCTTTAATAATTTTGAACCAACAATTTTGAATTATATTTTTATTTTATTCTATTTTAAACAAATTGAGAAAAATCAAGCAAACTATTTCAATGCATTCAACTTTTCAAGTTCTCAATGAATGTTTACATTAATTATAATAATATTATGACTTATGGATCCAATTTTATAAATAAATCATAAATAAAAATAGTTGCCAGGGGACTGAGTTTTGAAGTGGCCCAGACACATATTTCCAGCACAAACGGTGCTTTAACACTAAGTAAAATGCCGATAAAGCGCTAACAGCCCTATAGTTATTAACTCAAGGCTAGATAGGTCCTTATAAACCTTACAAAAGGTAAAATAACACGCTGGATTTTTTTTTTTGGCTTTGAACTTCTGGCAGGGACTGTTCTTAAAATGCCTGGGACAAACTTTGGTTTAATGAATTTAATGAAACAAATTAATTTTTGGTACTTTTTATTGAAGAAGATTGTTAGTTAAATAATTAAGTTTGTAAACATTATCGATCGAGTTATATATTATGGACGAATAACTTAAAATTTAATCTTAAAGTTTTAATTTTGGGAATGGTACAGCCCAGGGGACTGTTATTTCGGTGGTTTACGAATTTATAGCAAAAAAACCAAAATTTATTTCATTTTAGTTTTCAATGCCGAAAAGAGCTAGTTTCCGCTGCCAAAAAGACGATTGTTGTAAGGAAATACACAAATATCCCTACACACACGAAGATCTCCACCAAATTTGGAGTCTGTAGAAGTTACAGGTTGGAAATTAAAATTCTAGATTTTAACACCTACCCCCGCAATTCCTGTCGGAAGTAGACTTTATTGAAATCCATTTTGAGATGATTTTTATGTGAATAATAGAAAATTCCTACCATATTTAGAATTTTTAGAAGCTATATTTCGAAATTGAAATTTTTTATTGTTAACACCCACCCCCGCGAACCTTATTGGAGGTGATTCATTGTAAAATCTGCTGTAAGATCATTTTTATATTACATATAGAACACTCTCACTAAATTTGGAGTCTATAGGAGCTATCGCTTGGAAATTGAAAATTTTCATTGTTAACGCCCCCGCAATCTTCTTTGGGGTGCGATATCGTAAAATTTATTTATAAATCATTTTTACATCACTTATAGAAAATTCCTACAAAATTTGGAGCTTGTAGGAGCTTTAGCTGGAAAATTAAAAATATTAATTGTTAATACCCACCCCCGCAACCCCCTGCGGGGTGAGCTATCGTAAAATTCGTTCATAGCCTATTTCTACACCTCTTACAGAAGATTCCTACCAAATTTGAAGTCTATAGGAGCTATAGTTTAAAAACGGGAATTGTTCATTGTTAACGCCCCCGCAATCCCTTTTGGGGGATGAATTTCTTAAAATCTATTCATAGCTGACCTCTACATAGCAAAAGTAATATTCCTACCAAGTTTCACGTTTCTAAGTCTTATGGTTCCCGAGATTTCGTGGTGAGTGACTATATAGATGGGAATTCTTCGATTATCATCGAAATTTTTAACTTTTTATCGGACTTTTTTAAAATTTTCTTACATACAAAACTTTCTCCTGACAATTCTGAAGATAACAAAAAAGCCCAATTGGTCCAGCCATTCTCCACTACCGTGAGTAGATTCTTAGCTGAATGTAAAAAACCATAATCCATTTAATATACTCTGTTGAAATCCATGAAAACAAAAGAATCAAGAGAAAATGCTTATCTTTTGTTTTTATTAGCGGGATAAATATTCATAATACTAAAACAGCAATAAAAAAATAAAGGAATGTTGGAATTCAAAAAATAGATAGCCATAAACCATCTAGGAAAAATTTCGCATCGAATGGTGGTAGTTTCATGTCGATACGATCAGTGGTTTAGGCGTGATTGAGCCTCAAACGAAGACCATTTTCATTATATATATATATAGATTATTTCTTCAAAAACTATAAGCCAAAATTAAAATTTTTATGATTTTTTTTAATAAATAATATATATATATATATATATATATATATATATATATATATATATATAGATAATTGCAATCAGAGTGCTTCTAATAATGGTAAAATTGTTGATAATAATATTTTTTAAATTTGTAATTAATTGTATTTTTATTTTTACTTTGCCATTTGGCCATCAGGCTTTGGCATAAATAAATAAATAATCTAATCTAATTTTCTTGCTCAAAAGCTTCATTTAATAAAACTCGTTATTTTAGATGGCTGGAAAATGGTATGGGTACGCACGTAGCAGTAATAATAGAGATGAGGCTGAAAGATGTCCTATATTTAATTGGATTCAAATCGATGATGGCCGAACGCTATTCGTTTTCTCTGACATTTCAGCATTGTATTTTAAAACTTTTATATATTAATTATTAAATTAGTTATCAGATATCAAGCTAACATTAATTATATCATTTTATGATTTAGAATCAATGATAATTCTACAATAGTCGCCGATGTAAATAAAATAAAGAAAGCATCATTATTACATTGTTGAGACAGATTATGACAATTACGAAATAGTATACGAATGTGTAGAGCAAGGACCTTATCAGTGAGTATAAAATCAACAATAATTAATTAAGCTTGATTGTTTGTTTTTATAACTTTGTATTGTGTATAGCATTTCCCATGAGTGGGTTGTAACGCGAAGTCTGCAAACAAGCAAGAACTTAGACAATATTATCCAGAATGCATACAGAAGAAGAGGTCTTCCAGTTTTACCGCTGGATAAAGTTGATCGAAAAATTTGCAGGCAATAATAAAAAATTTTACTGATAAATAATTGTTAAACTAAAAATGTTGAACAATTAATTAATATGATTGCAATAAATTATGTTGAATAAACACATGCTTTCTAATTATTTTACTTTTTATTTATCCATTATTATGATTACTAATATTATAAAGAGGAAAGATTTGATTGTTTGTTTGTTTGTTTGCATTGAATAGGCTGCTCCGAAACTACTGAACCGATTTGAAAAATTATTTCACTGTTGGGAAGCTACACTATCCCCGGGTGACATAGGCTATATAAAAAAAATTTGAAATTTTTGGCATAAAATACAGTACTGCATGCATAAATGAAAAATTTGTTTTTTTTTAAATAATATTTTAAAAAAACATTTTACGCTTCGAAAGATTTTGAATATATTAAGCCAAAGCAAATAAAAACGAAAAATACTTTATCCGATTCTGTCAGTAACAATTCTTGGGCTCTCAAAAGAAACCAAAAAAAAGCTGTTTAGTAAAATGTTGAATATTCTTATTTTTCTTTGCTTCGTTGGTGGAGCTTTTGCTCAATCTTCTAACAATGGACCTTGTGTCGAAATCCCTTGCGAAAATATTGATAATGAAAAGGTAAGTATTATTTTCACAAGTTAAATGTTTTGATAAAATTATAATTATAATTGAAGTTTAATTTGTAAAAAAAAAAATTATTTTACAGCTTGTGGGGCGTTGGCGCGATGTTTTGAGGAGTAAAACTGTTTCGGACGAGGAAATGAAATGTCTGGAAGTGAATTTTACGTTAACTGCTCCGGGAAAATTTAAAATTATTTACTCGGCACGATCTAAAGAGTACTAGATAAATTTATTTACGTCTAGATTATTTTTTTACATTTCTGTATTGTCTTTTTGCATTAATCTTGTACTTTTTAGGAAAAAAATCGTTTTGATGTTATTATAATAATTTGATTTATTCGTTACATAAGTTTGTAACAATTAGTCAGTTAAAAATAATACATTATACATCAATATATTTTACATTATACGCACAGTAAAAAATTTTGGGTCAAAAAATTTTGTGTTAAAAATTTTTGTGTTAAATATTTAACGCTTTTATGTGTAAATTTAACACTTATTCTGTTAAATCAACACAAAAAAGTGTTAAATAATTAACATAAAAATTTTTTGACGCAATGACGCAAAATTTTTTACTGTGTAATTATGGGGTTAGTGCATAAAAGGAATAAAAGAAAACTTTTATAAGTTACTTACAATTTAACTCACTGATAATTTCCTATTTAGAGATAACGAATACTATTCAGTATGGGGCAAGGGTCAGATAGGTGGAAATTTTTTTAACACAACGAATCATCTGCCTGTTTTCGGACTGTATCCAGTAGGTGCTTATGTTGTGGAGTCTGATTATAACAGTTATTTAGTACTCTACGGCTGTAAATGTGAAGCATCTACATGGTAACTTTTTTAATACTGATAAATATAATTACAATAAATCACTAATCGGCCGGTTCTTCCTTTTCAGTACCAGTTACGGTTGGTTCAAGGTTCGAAAATTGAACGACACACTTGATTTTAATTATTACAACGAAATATTTCAAAATGCTCTAAGAAAAAAAAATATCCCTCATTTGGAAATGGAAGCTGTTGACACTACAGATTGCCCATAAATCTTTGATCAATAAAAAGTTATAAAAATTGTTATCCTGTAATTCTGAAAATTTAAAATTTAAATAAAAAAAATATTATCTTTACTAAAAAAATTCTCTTTTGTTTATTGTTGTTATTAGTTTGTTTAATTATCACAAAAAAATAACTAATTAATGTTCTTGTAGAAAAAATTAATAAATCAAATAGTTAATTTAATAAATTCCTTTATTTTTTATTTTTATTATTATCCTTTTTTTGATATCAAAATTTAATTTAAAATTGACAATTTAAATTTAATTAATATAACTTAATTTTTAATCAGTTATATTGGAAGTTAGTCAATACATTTAAAAAATTAAAAAAAAAAATATTTGATATAAAATAAATAATTTCTGCCGAAATATTTTTAAAAAGTAAACAGTCTTTATCATTAATGTATTTTTTTTTTAATTTATCTCTAAAATATATTTTTAAAATTTCATTTATTTTGTAAATTTAAATATTTATACTTTTTTTATAGGTATTTTAAAAAAAAAAAAAATGTATAAAAAGAATAAATTTTAATGATTTATTAAATATTATTCCGACAAATTTATTTATACATAATGTTAGAATTTAAAAATAAAATTATTTTTTTCCTAATTTTTGAAATCCACATTCTTATGGCCGAAGCTGTTGACTGCCAAAAGCCACAAGTAGAATTACTTGATTTAGATCGGGTAAAATTATAAAAAAAAATTTTAAATATTTAATTATCAATTACAATAAATAGTCTTTTACAAATAAAAGTTAATTATAATTTATTTAGTACGCTGGAACATGGTATACTTATGAGCGAAGCTGCGGTGACTGTACAAACTTGACTAAATGCTCACGAGCCAGTTGGAGCAAGCCTGATCAAAACGGGAACTCAACAGTAATTATAAGCGAATTTTCAGAAATGTAAAAGCAACTTTATCATAAATCGATAAAACAAATTTATTTATATTTAATTTAGCAACAAAACTAAAATTGAAAAAATTTTTTTATTCTAGAAGTTTCAGTCTTTCAGAAGTTACATCGAAAGCATACATCGAAGATAATAAAATAATCAACGAAATATGTGTACCGGCGGTAGGTACAGTTCGATTAGAATTTTGGATCCTTGCTACAGATTATGATACTTATTCAATAGTTTATTCTTGCAAAGTCGATAGAGACAAACCGTAAGATTTTAAATTATGATTTTTAATAGATGTGTAAGAAAATAATAATAATAATAATTATAATAATAAACCCTTTCGTATGATTTTTAGGGTGATTGAAGGAATTATTTACACCCGAACTCGACAGATTGATTTAAACATGACTGCAATAACTGAAAATGTGTACAATTTTCAAAAAATAGAAATGCCAACCATGATAAAAGTCGATCAAGAAAATTGTTTTTAAAATTTTTTTTATAAAGTTCATTAAAACATAAAAATTCAATATGTAATATCCTTGAAATATTAATACTTACTGATGCTAAATATAAACTTTTTTTATTAAAATGAATAACTAATATGAGTAATAAAATATATAGAAACAGTAATAAATTATTTGAATTTTTACATATGAATAAGTATGTAATTTAATAAATTCAATTAAATATTGAATTATGACGTTGGCAAATTATTTCAATTTACACAATCTTTGTCTTAATTAAAAATTATATTATGGATCTTTGTATTTATGGTGGTAATAAAAGCACGTCAATTACGATGGATGTTAAGAAAAAAAATATTTATTAAAATCATTCACAAACATAAATAATATTATTAAATAAAAATCAACTAGCAATGCAATGAGATTATTTTACAACAATAATAATTATTATAAAATATGACTCATTTTATGTGTTTATTTAAAAATCCACAAAAATAATTTTTAAAAATTTTTACGTCACAGATTATTTTCATCGTAAATAAAATCATAATTAATTGTATTTATGTTTCATTATTTATTGAAAGATATCAAAATATATATATATATATATATATATATACCACCTTCAAATGGTTCACACGTTCAGATTGAACTTCATTATAGTGATACAGGCTTTAGAAAAATTTTCTTAATTAATTAAGGTTAATAATGAAAATTTTAAGTACGTTTATTATTTTTTGTTCAATTGCTACAAGCTTTTTATATGCACAAGACTCTTCAGATTGCCCAGTCCCTTGTGGAGGAGGAGAAGTAGACTTATATAGAGTAATTATAAAATATTACTTATAGTATTACAGAAATTTAAAAACTACATTCATATATATAGAGAAAAATTGAAAAATTATCTTTTAGTATGCTGGCAAATGGCGTGATTATCAACAAAGTCGCAACAACATATTCCATTTTGGGATCTTTCCGACGTCATACTGGTATAAGCCTGTAAATGGTACTTCAACAGCTGTCGTAACATCTTATTCAACAATGTAATAAATTTAGAAAATGTTTTTAAAAAAAAATATATTTTATAAATAAATAATTGTATTTATTTAGAAAAAAAGAGTACGATACAACAATTCTTGCGGACGCCTTCAATAATGGTCACAATTTAGGAATGAATTTTGAATTACCTGTTTTGGGTAATTTGTATCGTGAATATTACATACGTACGGATTATGATAATTATTCGCTTGCATGGAATTGTGTTAAAGAAAACAACACACGGTATGATAATAAATTAATTATGCAATAATATTCTTACTACTAATTAATTAATTAATTATGCAATATTATTCACTACATGCAAACTGTACACTGATAGAAAGATATGTTTATAGTTAAGAATATTTGTTAATATTCAATAAATCATTTATTAGAGACCACTTTTTAGTCCTTAATAAATATTTCTTAGTATTTAAAAAAATTTATTAATATTTAATAAATAAATATCAGATTTATTAAATACAAACAAATCATTTTAAATACTAAGAAATATTTTTCAATACAAATAAATACTTCTATCGGTATATATCTATATATACAAACAAAAGAATTGAAATTATATGAAAAGAATTCGAATTTCATTATTTTTAATTCTTTTCAATCAATATTTTTAAACAGGGATTTCTTTAGCACTTGGCGGACTATTCGACTATTCTTATTTTTTCTACTTGCTTGCAGTGTGTTGTACGCCAACGTATTTCTGAGAGGTGATGAACCTAAAGTCGACATAGAAGAAATTAAACGACGTGTATTTGGAGAAATGGGGATGGAAGTTCCTCTTATGGATCAAGTTGATCGAAGAGGTTGTCCGCCTTTTTCTGAACGATCACTTCTTTAAAAAATTAATGAAATTTATTATTGTATCTTTTATAGTTTAGCAATAATTCAATGCATTAAAAAAAAAACGATTTAGCTTTAAATATTCAATTCGAAGCTGTAAATTTTATTTTAAAAAATATTTAATGACAAAAATTGTATTATCATTTAGAAAATTCATAGAAAATAAAATGCTTACTTTAACTTAATTTTTATTATTAGCAGATATTTGAAAATGATCAAGATTCATAAATTTGTTAATTATATTTGAATATTCAATAAATATTTTCTAATTAAATATCTGTAAGTTTATTGTTACATTTTCAAAAAAAATATTTTATTAAATTATTTTTTAAGAATATGAAATACAATATTTATGTATTTGTAAATCGATAAAGTTATTTTTTCTATCTTTTCAAAATTTGGGAGTGTATCGTCTTAAAAGATCGCCTTTGTATAAAAAGATTGACGATATTGTATTAATTTTCATTATTCAATAGAAAAATTCCAAATATTACCCTGTGATAAATTTCATTAGTACCTCAAAAAATTTTAACTACTATGACGATAATAATAATGTTTTTTTTTTGTAGGCTAGCATATTTAAATATATAAATATTTAAATAAAAAAAGAAAAAAAAAACATTACTCATAATAGTTCATTGATTTAAACACCATAAAATTGGATTTTTCTGATAAATCAAACATTGCTGAGAATTTTATTTTTAATTTTTCCAAGTGAATTTTTTTGGTTACATATTGGATCTTAAAGCGGCAATATCAATAATTTGAAATAATTAATATTTTAAACATGTAAGTATACTAAATTTATACTTTCTTTGTATAGCTAAAAGCTAAATAAACAAGCATTATTATGAATTTTACAAAAAAACCTGTTATGTAAGGATCTGAAATTTGCATTGCTTTAAAATTTTTCTTACATGAATTAACAGATATTTTTAAACAAATGAAAATAAATGAATAGATTTGATCAGATTTTTTCGTATGAATTCACGCGTGATGAAATAAAATAAATAAAATTCTCAATCCAAATATTATCTTTTATTAGTTCATATGCAATATATGCAATATTGAACTTTTATTATTGACGTACAACGTCATACTCTATAGAATATTAAATTTGATATTATGTGAATATATTTGAACAAGTGAATTATTACGAATATATAAGGTTTGAAAACTGGACAACAGTAGGTTATTTAAAAAAAAAAAACCCTGAATACATTATTCGAAAGACAATGTATCCATCATTAATTCTTTTTCTGCTGATAGCAGGAGCTTTTGCTCAGAGTTCTTCTAACTCTGGCTCAAACGCCGGTTCTGGATCTAGTTCCAATTCCAATTCTGGTTCTGGTTCCAATTCCAATTCTGACGCCGGTTCTTCTGCCTTTTCTGGATCTAATTCTGGATCTAATTCCGGATCTAATTCTGGTTCTAATTCTGGATCTAATTCTGGAGCTAGCTCCTATTCTGGTTCTAACTCTAATTCTTATTCTGGCGCCAACTCTGGTTACCTCCCTGGTTTCTATATTACCGATTCTGGTTCCCCTTATGGTTCCGTTTCTAATTCCTATCCTGACTCCGGTTCCTCTTATGGTTCCGATTCTATGTCCTATCCTGACTCCGGTTCCTCTTATGGTTCCAATTCTATGTCCTATCCTGACTCCAATTCTAATTCCTATCCTAGTGACTCCTATTATTCCAATCCTGATGCAAATTCTGATTCTGGTTCTAACAATAATGCCTATCCTGACCCTACTTCTGGTGACTATTCTGGTTACTCCGGTCCTGATGCAAACTCTGGTTCTGGTTCTAACTATAATGCCTATCCTGACCCCACTTCTGGTGACTATTCTGGTTACTCCGGTCCTGATGCAAACTCTGGTTCTGGTTCTAACTATAATGCCTATCCTGACCCCACTTCTGGTGACTATTCTGGTTACTCCGGTCCTGATGCAAACTCTGGTTCTGGTTCTAACTATAATGCCTATCCTGATCCCACTTCTGGTGACTATTCTGGTTACTCCGGTCCTGGTGCAAACTCTGGTTCTAGTTCTGACTATAATGCCTATCCTGACCCCACTTCTGGTGACTATTCTGGTTACTCCGGTTCCGATTCAAGTTCCTCTGATGGCTCCAACTCCTTCTGACTATAATGCCTATCCTGACCCCACTTCTGGTGACTATTCTGGTTACTCCGGTCCTGGTGCAAACTCTGGTTCTAGTTCTGACTATAATGCCTATCCTGACCCCACTTCTGGTGACTATTCTGGTTACTCCGGTTCCGATTCAAGTTCCTCTGATGGCTCCAACTCCTCCCCTAACTACGGTTCTGACTCCGGTTATGGCGCCACTTCTGCACCCGGAACTTCTCCTGGTTTCGTTTTTGGCTCTAACAGTGGTTACACTTATGGCTCTGGAAGTTGTCCCGCAATATATCGTCAAGAACCAATTGAATTGGAGAAAGTATGTATTGTCTTATTTTTTTCAATTTTTTATGGTATAAATAATATATAATTATTCAATAATAAACTTTTATGTTTAGATTGATGGTTTGTGGTATGTGTTCGCCCAAGATGATGCAGTTTTAGATGAAACTCTGAGATGTTACTTGAGTCTGTGGTACTCTAACTCCAATGTACCCCAACCCTATGCTGTCTTCACTGCTCAGTCAAACCAGTAATAATTTAAATTATTTATTACAAATTTATAGTTATAGCTATACTTTATTGTACTCAAAAATTATTTTATTTCTATTTTCTAATTTAGATTCAACGAGACCGTAGAAATCATCGAGGAAGTATCCGTAACGGAGACAAACAAATTGCGTGACGTATACCATGTGCCAATTTTGGGAAGAGTCACCCTAGACCGTGACATTATTGGAGGTGACTACACCAGCTACCTGGTCATATACGCGTGTGTTGATGGACCAAATGGACCGTAAGTTGAATTAATATTAATAACAATTTAACTAATATTATCATTATTGTTCCCATTCTTTACTGGATTTTTTCGTTTTTCAGAATGTCATTCACCCGTGTCCTCACAAGATCACCTGAGCCATCATTTGCTGTCTGGCCCAAGGTTAAAGAAGCATTCAGCAATTACAACATCCCATACCCAGCAATGAGCAGACTCGATAACAAAAACTGTTAATAATTTTTTTTCACGGAGTATTATATTAGGAGTAATTATTTCTACGTAAAAAAGTCCTGACAAATCAGCGAGATTTGAATTCAACAGGGTTTTTTTTCATAAATGAAAATAATCGTCCTATTTAATTTTCAAATGTAAGGCAAATATATTTTCTGGTAATGAGCATTCCTATTAAATAAATATTATTATTAATATTATCTCAAAAAACTTTATTATTTCAAACCTATCACTTAATATATTCATCCATAATAAAATAATTTATTCTTGAAATTCAATTTTTTCATTTGTTATATAACAATAAAATTTATATAACTTCGAACAAAAAATTTCAATTATTTAACTTTTTATAGAATGTCTCGCAAATATTTTTTTTTTGCGCTAATATAATACTTCATTGTTTAAAATAAGTAAAGTGCAAAACATAAATTACTGATATAAATAATCTAATTACGTCCAGGAAAAAGTGATATAATAACTATGTTCACAGGAATTCAGGACAAAATAAAATTCAAACCATCAATTTGATCTTTGTTGTACGTTTCATCCTTTATTAGGACTTCATCAGCAACTAAAATTAAAAACATAAATATTATAACCTTTCTATATATACCTACCTTTCTAACCTTGCTGATGAAGTCTTAATAAAGGACGAAACGTACAACAAAGATCAAATTGATGGTTTGAATTTTATTTTGTCCTGAATTCCTGTGAACATAGTTATTATAAATTACTGAGTTACCATAATTTTATTGATAGCCAACCACAGGTTGATTAAAAAGTTAAAAAAATTAAGGACAGCACTCGAGATAATGAAGAAGAACTATATCATATAGTACAGGATTCGATATATTGGTGTGAAAGAAATCGATGCGATCGTGAAGGGAGAATTTTTTTCAACCAAAACTGATAACTTTTTTAATGTTAAATATCTTCCAATAATAGTTTATGAAAGTATATTAAATTAAATAAAAAAAAAAAAACACGATTGTTATTTTCCTTAATCGTCACGGTCAAAAAAATATAAAAAGTAGTTTTGCAGCTATTTTTATAAATTTAAATTTGTCAAGTGTAAACATTGCTTATTCAAAATTTTTGCTTCTCAGTTCTGATGGTGTGCTCTATTAAGCAAATTTTAAAATCCAATAAAGGATTTTTATTGCTTAATAAGTTATCTTAAATTTAATACATTTCATTTCTTTTTGGCCATCATTACTCACACTAAATGTCAGAATTACGAAATATTCCGATGCTAAATTTATATTTTCTTATCGCTTTTATAACAATAGTAATAAAAAATTATACTGTATAATAATTAAAGAAGTTCCGAAATAATCAACTAAGTATATTTCGAAAACCATATCTTGTTTGGAAATAAGTTCAAACAGGACTGTAACAATGTATAATTTGTTTTTTCATGTATGCATAATATTTGACGCGATTTAAAATCGATTATGAGCCACTGGTACCAAATAAATTATCTTTTCAATAGTTTATTCTTTAAGACATGCAATATTTATTTTAAATTAATATATTACCATACACTTTGATGCAACGTGTCGCTCATATTTATATCATTGAATAAATATAATTTTTAACCAAGTGAATAGATGTTAATTAAGTAAGTATAAATATTAAGTACGTCAGTTAATATCAAATAATCGCTCGTTGAAATTACTGAAGAGATGATTATTCCCAAAATGTTGACTGCTCCGATTCTGTTGTGCTTGATTGTTGGTGCATTGGCCACTAGTCACGGTCATAAACCTTACCATGGAAGTTCACCCTCAAGCGGAGGTTCTTCATCAGCAGGAGCTTCTTCGTCAGCGTCGGCTTCTTCCCACGCTCAATCATCGACTCACGGGAAATATACTCGTCCAAAATGCGGTCCTTGTCCTTACATAAAGGTGGACCCAGTTGACTTCTACAAAGTAAGATTGAATATTTTCATTTAAAAATATATAAAATAAAAAATACCGTCATCGTTTGAATTAATTAATTATTTACAGTAATAATAATAATAATAATAATAAAACTTTTTTTTTAGATGTCCGGAGCATGGTATGAAATTGAACGGAGCAGCAACAATGTTGATAATTCAGATAGATGTTATAAATTGACTTGGGGTAAGCCCTACGATGGTCACTCCACACTAACATACAAAAGTCTATCGAACGTGTAATTATAGCTTACATTTATTTTTTATTATTTAACAACATCTCGGCTGCCCAATTTTAAAACACAGTAACTGCAAAATTTTTATACTTGATTTTTTTTTAGTATTGCTGCATTTCTTATAACTTTTCCCCCATAAAAAAGTATATTTAAAATATTTTTTTATATATTTCGAAATATATATTTTTTTTTCATGGGGGTAGACTTTAATTTCAAGTATTTTTTCTCAAAAATATTTATATTCAAGTATTTTCTATTCATAAATCAAATTTTTTATCAATTAGCCGCGCAAACATTTTTTTAATAAGAAAAATCTTTAAATTGTCCGTTACTGTGTTTTGAAATTGGGCAGCCAATCTGGATAATGCGTTTTTGATAAAATTTTTTTATGGCTTAGAAAACATGCTACTAACACAATGGTATCTACGGTAACTTCAAATGAACGAGGAACAGGCTTTACTTATCGATTGCCGACTTTAGGAAGTATTTTCAAAGAGCACTTAATTCTTGATACCGATTATCACAACTATGCGATAGTTTATTCTTGTGAAATGCATGGAAAGAAACAGTAAGCTTGTAGATTTACTTATATATCAGTAATTTTGTAAAAGAAAATTTATAATTGCTAAATAATCTTTCGCAGCTATGAATATGGTTGGGTGTTTTCACGGAAGCAAAAGCCAACTTGTGATATTGAAAATATAAAACAACAGGCTTTTACTAGATACAATCTTACGGTGCCGGATATGGTTCGACATGATCTTTCAAACTGCTGCGAAGCCTTCGCTAACTACAATTTTTGCGAGTAAATTTTTAACAGCATGTGTTTTCTTAGAATTAATAAATAATTATATTTAATCATCTATAAATCTTTATTTTTGTTTTATTACTTATATAAATAAATATTTTTAACACTCAAATTAGTGAAATTTTATTTTAATGGCCCTTAAAATCATTTTAAAATTATTACAAATATTTTAAGATTCATTTTTAAACTTTATTTATAATTTAAAAAAAATAATTCCAATTTTCTTTAAATACAATAATTAAAATTCTTAACACTCCAAGGTCTGACCTAAAATTTGTTTAACTTAATTAAAAAGTAAATACTAAAAAAAAATTTTTTTAATTATGCACTCTTGCATTACAGCTTAATATAAAATTCCAAATTCGGGGATGATATTTTGAAAGAGTTCTATAAATAAAGTTATGCTATCAAATTAAAACTTATTTAATTAATTTTATACAAACAACTTCATCAAATATGTCGGAATCTTTGCTTATTTAAATGTGGATTGTGAAATTTAACAAGTGATTCTCATTAAGTTATACCTATTTGTGTAGGAGAGTTTTACTTGCAATTAGGTCAACTCGATGATAAGCAGCTCTTAATAATGAGATCCGCACTTCCAAAATATGCATTGCAATTAAAATGATAATCTAATTTTCATTTATTTGATTATTTGATCATATTAATTATTGGATCTAATATATGGACATACTACATTGTGTACGGCCGGGTATTTTGATCTCGTTTCATACATCATCGATTAGTTTTGCTATTATGTATAATTTGTTCAGTTATGTACTTTAGTTTTTATAAGTTAAGAGAAAATTGTAATGTATTTTTAAGTTTACTCATGTTTTCTAAAATATTTCGACAGACTTTCACAAAGACGTTATAAAACTTAAAATTCGGAAATTTATGAGTCAAACTCAAGTAGTTGCCATTGTCAGATAATCCCTTTAATGACTTAGACTAACCTTCAACACAAACGGATAAATTTTACAATCCATCTGTTCATCAGATGGCGACCAGACTTTTCCCAATTTAGCAATTTTCTCACACTTAGTTTAAACAACCTTTCTTTAAATAAATTATACCCTTTCCAGAATCCCTTTTGTTAACAACAATTCCCCAACTCCAGTTACTTTCCACCAATCAAAAACGGAAATACCCTTCCCAAAATTGCACTCTCTGACTGACGATAGTTGGACGAAAAATCGAATAAGACAGTTTACCCAAAAACCTTTGACCACGCTCGCCGAGCGCCTTTGTTACTGACAAACCTCTGACCACGCTCGCCGAGCGTCTTATACCTGACCTTTACCGACTTTTGTACTGATTAAATTATTGTAAAATTATAGTCAGTTCTCAATTTAATAAATCAATTACAAAAACGAAATATTTGTGATCTTTTTAATTAAACATCACAAAAATTCTTGTTAAATTATAACCAAATTAATTTGCAAGAAAACACTATTAATTCGTGAAATTATGAAACATCAATTAATCTTCCAATGATGAACTTAATAAATTCTCGAAAGAAAAATTTATTCTTTTCCATGGAATTTGAATTGTTTTTTCTATGACCAAATAGCGCGTAAAACATTTGCAGAAATTGTTAATGCTGGTAATGACAACTGTACCAAAATAATTGATATTTATTAATAAATATCATAAAGTATTTTTTTTTTTGTATTCAAAAATATTTTTACAATTGTAACGTTCCCAATTTTTGGGTGAGTTTTATTTTAATTTATTAATAAGTTTCTTCAGGTCGGGCCTCGTAAGGATGTCGATAAACTCCAGGTGAGCTTGTCATTGGTCACTCGTGAAGATTTTTAATATTACTAGCAGACTCGACAAACGTTGTCCTGTACACGTGTCTTAAATTAAAAAATTTTAAGCTTATTTGAATGCGCTGTTACAGTTTGGACCATTTTGATGAAAATTATTATTAAAACGTTATTACAATGAAATATTTCAATTAGCACGTGATTGATTTTACCACAATAACACAAAGTTTTCTTGAATCTGATCGCAGCGCCCACTATCGTGTCGCACTCAAATTAAAATAAAATATTTTGGAATATTCGATACTGCGATGTCTACCGAATCCAATGTAAAACATTCCAATATCAACAACAATTAATAAATAAAAAATTAATTAAATAAACATTTTCCCGTGGACTGAATTGTGAATCTAAACTATTCTCGAATCCACCTGAAGACACACAAACTATTCCATTAAAATCGGTCCAGCTGTTTAGGAGGAGTTCAGTGACAAACACACGCACAGAAGAAATATATATATATATATATATATATATATATATATATTGCACGTCTCATAGCGCGAAGAGCATGAGGTTGTGTTTTATACTCGACTCGTCAAGGTCAAGCAATTTTGTGATCTTTAAATGCCTCTATTACAACCATATTACACTTATACAATAATATAAGTAGATGTACACCGAAAAAACACTTAAATTAAACCATTGTTATGTCGGGCTCAAAGTTCGACATTTTTATCTTATAACAAATGGAATTTAATTATTCATTTATAATTTTATGTTTAAAACTAATGACAAACATTTATTTTTTATTATAATTTTTTTTTTATTTTGTATTAGTCATAGTTCAACGTTTATCTGAAATTGAAACGATATTCTCAAAGGTTTCAAATTTCAAATCTTATAGTTCTGAGAAGTTTTTTTTTATATATATATTTTAACAAATTTGAAAGTATTCTAAGTACACAGACCGGAGTAATAAAAATTATCTCCCGCTGAGAACCAGATAAGAGTGCAACGTTTCAAACTCAGATACACGTTAAAGCATATTTCCTTTAATAATAAACTAGAAAAAAAATTTTGAAATAGAAACTAAAGAAAAAATTTTAGAAGGGAAATATTAGATTTAAAATTCTAACGGATAAATTTTCAACACATTTTTTTTTTATAAATATAATAGTTATTATTTAAAGAAGGATTTTACAATAACTTAAGTAACAATAAAATTAAGCGACAAAAATTTTAAATAAACAAATATTGAACAATGAAATTCTAAAACGATACAACGAATAATAAATTTACAAATGATCGAAGCAAAAAAAAAAATATTTCTACAATTAAATAATAAAATTCAAAATAATCAAATTCGAAATAATTAAGATATGCTTAATTGAAATACATATTTTATTCATACGTTTAAATAAATAATTTAATGCAAAATTTGTCACAGTAAATAATTTAATGTAAAACAGTACACATGTATGTCTTTGTCTATGCATAAATGCGCTTACGTATACACAAACACATAGATGTATAATAGAGCATAAGAGTAAGAGAGAAACGATATTGTACTCTGACCCAAGTAGAGGGGACTCATGCAACATTATAAAAAAAATCTAAGAGAGAGGGCAAGGGCTCAAGGAAATAGAAAAATAATTGGACATTGTTTCTCCCATCTAGTGAAAATAAGTAACGCCCAAAAAATTCGAGACCTTTACGATTTTCAACAAAAATCTCTCTTGTTGTCCTGACGTCCTAGTTTTAACATCGAAAAAGTTTTTGTAAGTTTCAATGAAACCACGCGTTAGATTCAAAAAGAAATTGTTAGTGAAGTAAATTCAAATTATGTAAAGAAGCAGTTACAATGATATTTAAGTAAGTCCTTAATTAAGATTTTCATGTTTGTTTTAATAATTCAAATCTTTGTATTATAATTTTAGAATATATTTATTAAATTGAATTCATTTTTTTTTTTTATATTATAACTTCAACCTCTTCCCATAAGCTTCAGATCCTTATCTATTAGCCTAACGGCTAGGATAAAAATAATAAAATTTTAGTTGCAAGTTCGACGTAACACCATCTTTTACTTTCTAAAATCATTTCATGTTGCTATTTTGAAAAAAAAAAAACGTTTTGAAAAAAATTTTACGTGGACATCCGGATGTCACCCCATTTTGGATGTACCAACAATTACTCCCGAACAAATTGATATTTCAAGACCGGACCTTTTTTATTAGTTTAAGACTTTGATGAACTGAGTCTGTATTTCATATCAGTGGCCTAGTTTACGTATTTTTGTTTTAATTGAATTTTTATTAAAATTCACTACGATACAACCGTACGAAGCCAAACGAACTTTTCTTATTTGTCACGTAAAAACTATGGCGCCACTTGATCAAGCTAGATTTTTTTAGACTGCGTGCGCGTATGATAAGAAAAAAGAGCACCGATTTAAAAAAAAAAATTAAAAATACTCTGTAAGAAATTATTTAATTATATTTTTTTTTTTTTTAATCAATTACACAATTAATTTTTTTCTTAAAAAATGAATGAGCGTTATGAGGCGTGCACTTTTGGATTTTCCAAACTTTTTTCAATTTTTACCTGATAGGCTGAAATTTTAGCTTATCAGGGTGATGAGAAAAATAGAAGGGAGGGTGTACGCGAATAAGCGCGTACTATCCCCTTATTGGTTTTATATAATAACTAGTATAGGTTGCGCGCGGAAGCGCGCGTGTGAATGTTGGTATGGAATTATCTATATTTTCATGCTTATTTCATATTTTTCATCTAAATTATAAGAGTGGATTGTTATAGTCCATATTAAAATTAACTTGATTTATTAATAATTAAAAGGCCAAAAGCGGAGTCAGTCCTCACAGCTCTGGGTCTCGCCCTGGACTGGCTATCCGCAAACGTAATTATACAAAGTCGAATCAAAATCGTTGACGTTGTATTTCAGGTTACACCCTGGTGGAGTGATCGGGGCCCAGCTCTCACACTGGTGCTTAAACTACAGCCCGGCGACTCTCTTATCATTGGAGATTTCCGTTACTTTGCTGACGCAAAGTACACGGGAAAAAATTTCTGGGAAAATTTACGATACAACTATTGTAAAGCTGGACTATACCTTTATTACTATTAATTATCAAATATTTTAGAAGAAAAAATACTATTTATTAATGAAAAAATACGATATTACTATTGTAAAAAGTAAGAGATGAAAATTTCCAGTGCTGCCTCTGTATCTTTCCAATAGAACTATAGCAAATTTTACAATAGTTGAATTGGAATATCTCTCAATTAGTGTGAGTGATGGCCGTGCACAGCGCTAGACTCTGAGTTTATATAAATGTTAAAGAACATGGGTCTTAGTTTACCTCGGATAGCCTAGAGGGAGAGTCTCTGGCT